TTCTAAATTCCAACTGTGATTACAGTTGCTCAACTTTATAAGTTTGCTTTAAAAAAAAAAAAATCATTGAAATGGGTGAATCCTATCCAATAAAAGGGTAATATGCAAATTAACCGACAATCCAACACACAAGATGGCTGCCTCCATGTGGACACAAGATGGCCGCCACAAGCTGGCCAGCAAGGGAGGGTGGTCGGGAGGGACCAGGCCTACAAGGGAGGGCAGTTGGGGGTGATCAAGCCTGCAGGGGAGGGCAATTGAAAGGAACAAGGCCTGCAGGGGAGGGCAGTTGTGGGGGGCCAGCTGCTTAAAAAAAGAAAAATCACCATCATCAGATACAATCTTTGCAAAGCTCCACTCCTGATTAGAGAACTGCAGTGTTGCCTCCAGGATATAAACAGCCTTCTCTGGCATTCAGGTCCCACCTTGGGTTACTTCACCTCCTTGAACCTGTTTCCTCACCTCTGAGATGGGGATGACAATATCTCACAAGGTCAGCAAGGGGAATATCTAGGATCATGCTCTCAAAAACACAGCAAAGAGTAAATATGTGCACATTGCCTGGCTGGCTCAGGCACATCTTCAAAGTCACCTCCTCAGAGCAGCATAAGCTGACTATCCCTATTAGCGGGTGGCCCCATTACTCTTTATGTTTCTTTCATTGCACTTGCAGTTCTTTTATTCCTCTGCCTTTTTTCTTTCTTTCTTTTGGTCTGTCCTCCCTACTGGGCTGAGGTCTTCATAAAGGCAGGGACCTTATGCTTTGCCCCTTTGTCTCTGCAAACCCAGGCCCTATGTCTGGCAATCACACATTCACAGGAAGCATTTTACTGAGGTGATGGATAAATGATAGCTATGAGTACAATGCTCAGCATGTGGCTTCTCTGGTGTTGGCATGTTTGGGAACTGTTTCTTGTGTGCCTTACTACATCCTCCTTGATCTTCCCCTCAGCAGTGGCCCAGACTGACCTCACAGGAGCAATAAATGATGGTCTATGTGATGAAGGGTGTAAATGAGCCTGGGAAAACACCTGAAGCGGCAGGCTGGGGAAATGACTAGGGAAGAGCCATCTAGTGGTTGGAAGGGAAAAGGCTGAAGACAGTGAGGAGCCTGGAAATTGAGGAGCAACCAATTTCAGTTGAATCACCAAAGATGGCTGCTCACACTGGGCAGAGAAAAGGACATGATTAGGACATTATTGCCACATGTGTGCCTTTTCTTATTGGAAGAGGAGGTTAAATAATACTTGTAGAAATGAAATCTTATGTATTTCACACGTTTGCTCTGGAAACAAGTTGCATATAATTGCAGTATTTTGTATTAATTAAATTTCTTTTTACCTCTAAGAAAATAGGGCTTGAACTCACTATGTAAATTTATGCAAATAAGTGTGCAAACTAGTAAGGCCCTAGCATTTCATTTTAAGGGAACTAGAACACTTTCCAGGCCCAGGCCCAGGGGATTAAATACAAGTGGTCTTTATGAATATTTAACTTTCTCTGAAGGAGCTGGGGCAGATATTCTTTGGCATCTAACCTCTATTAAATTAACTTCTTATTTTATATCCAACAATCTTGTCTACTGATTTTTTTTAATATTGTTTTTTATTCATTTCAGAGAGGAAAGGAGAGGGAGAGAGAGATAGAAACATCAATAATGAGTGAGAATCATTGACTGGTTGCCTCCTGCCCCGCCCAGCCTCCCACCTCTATCCCACCCCCCGCCCCTCATGTGCCCTTGACCGGAATTGAACCTAGGACAACACTCTATGCACTGAGCCACCTACTTTTCTCTGATCTCCAGGAATATAAGAAAGTGGGGGAAGAAGTCGAGGGAGGCGGGGGTCCTCATGGCATACACTCCACAATGTGACTCAGGACTAGTCATTTATTCTCTAATGAATTTGCCCAACAGTCAACCTGAGACCTCCTCTCATTTGAACAACCTCTGGTAGAACTAAATGAGGCCCCAGCACCTAGTAGGACAGGTGGAGGCTTTATCTCAGAATTTTTTTTGCTGTCTTGCATATCAGTGGTGGGGAAGGAGCTGGAGTAGTGAGAAAAGGCTGATTTTTGCACCCAAAAGATCTGGATAAAAGTCCCAGAAGTTTCTCGGGTAATGCCTTGGACAAATTCCTTAACCTCTCTAAGCCTGATTCTCCATCTTTAAAGAGAATTTATACTTTGCAGACATGTCAAGAAAACTAGAAATAAAATGTACCTGTCTGACACCCAAAAAGTAGATGTTCCTCTGTCAACATAAAGGAAATCACTTCTCAAGGGAGTCCCTGAACCTTAGAAAACTCCCACTTACGTAACTTTCCAACATTCCCCAAATCAGGATACCAGGTGACAAAGGTGGGAGAGCACCCAAACAGAGCCAAGGCCAAGGGTATCTTTCTAAATTTCAATTCAGATTCCTGCCTCTCAGTCTTCCAACACCAACCTCATTTTGTCTTTAGCAGGAATCAGGTTAAGATTAGGTAACACCAGGAACCTAATCTTATGTATTTGCTAAGGACTATGCCAGGCAGAGTGGAGGCCCCCACTCTACTATAAAAACACTCTGTACCTCTGTACTTTCTCTAAACGCTTCAACACACATCTTCATTTCATCGTAGGCAGCACCTAGGATTTCACACCCTCCCGCCACACACTCCACCCCATGTCTTTTTCTGAACCACCTCCTAACTAACTCGCCTACACCCAGCTCTGTGCACTCCATTTACACTCAGTCTCTGTTTCACTGAGTTCATCCATTCAATCACTCAACATTTACAAAGCACCCACTTTTTGCCAGACACAGGTGTAGGAGGAAGTATATAGCATTCAATGAACAGGCCCGAGTTGCCTACTTCAATCCAGTTCTACCGCTTTCACTTAGGTGGTCCTGGATAAGTTACTTCATCTCTCGGTGCCTCAGTTGTCTTTAGACTATAAAATGGGCATATAGAATTCTACATCTCTCACAGGGCAGTTGAAAATTAAATGAGAGGACACCTATGTATCCCATGCCCCCCAATAAGCATTCAAATATGAGCTACTTCTATTAATCAGACAAAAGCCTTAGCCTCAGAGCTGATCATGTATTAGGAAACATAATAAACAAGTAAATTATTAATAGTAGTTTCAAATGGTGTTAAGCACTATGAAAACATTAGATGTGTGACAGTGTGGGTGGGGAGGGACTTTAGATTAAGTGGTGAAGGAAGGATACTGAGATATTTTAACTATAACAAGAATGACAAGAGCTGGACATAAGAAAAGCTGGGGGAGGGGAGGGGCGTGAAGAGGGGGTGGGACAGAGCCTATAAAGGAACCATTAACCAGAACAGTGATGTAGCCAGCAGACTTCATAGGAAAGCAAGCAGTGAAACATATTAAATCCAAGGGGCTGAGATAGATACTGGACTGTCTCATCTTGGCAACAGACGATGTAGATCTGGAGGGAAAGGAAAGCATCTGGCACAATGGCAAGGTGGTTGACAACACCATGTCTGGAAGCTACAGTTACAGCATCCAGAAGTATCTGGCTTTTGCAAACATCCCTACGGAGCTCAGTAAGGTAGGACAGTGGAAATTGAACTACTAGGCAAATATTACCCTGCAATCATCATACAAGAACCCTTGGTACTGATGGAACCAGCCAGAAATCGACTTCAGAAAAATGTTGGAAAGGACATGATTTGAAAAAGACCCTCAGCAGTTAACTGGATTGTGGTTGCAATATGACTATACTCAAAATTGTAACTGATTTTCGGGGAAATAGGAAAAACCAAGGATTCATTTAAAAATCATCAAAATCTAGATTTAGAATCTTAAGACCTATTTTCTCAGCAAGATACATTAATAAATTAGGGCTTTACATTGTTGTTTCTAATGAAGAAATTAGAAATAAATGGTTTTATGATCCTATATTATTGCCCATAAATTCAATTGGTAAGACATTTAGATGTTTGTTAATATACAATCATCCTTACAACAGAATTAGAGGACATTATAGAAACATATGTTTATGCTTATTACCTGAAAACTAATAAATTATATACATACATAAATAAATAAAGACCAACAGCAAATGCAGAGGTCCTGTGCTTAGAGCAAGCTGACATCTTACTGGGACAAGGAGGTCCTAAGGCTGGTGACTAGATGGGGGGTGGGAGGTCAGACAAGTCAGAGAAATCAGCAGCACAGCTTTGTAAAATAAGGTAAGATCATTCCTTTTCATCTGAAATGTGCCAGGCATTCATTGAAACCCTTGCTGAAGGCCTGGCCTGGTGGTTCAGTTGTTTGGAGTACAGTCCAGTACATCAGAAGGTTGCGGGTTCCTGCATAGGGAGGAGGCAACCGATCATGTTTCTTTCTCACACTTCACACCGAGATCTCCCCTCCACTCCTGCCACACACACACACACACACACACACACACACACACCCCTCTTTAAAAAATCAATAAACATGTCCTCCAGAGAAGATCTTACAAAATGGTTAGTGGGGGACCCTTGCTTGGAATTTTAAGCAAGGGAAGGGTGTATGACTTGAATTACAACTTCTAAACGTGCCCTTTGGGCTGCAATGTTGAGAAGCTGTTGCAGGTGTCCTGGGTTGGCAGCAGCATCTCCTGTGCACACAAGACGCATACACGTGGTGTGTGGTGGAACAGATTCAGGTCCGTGACAGTTAGGTCAACGGGGGCATGCATGTGGCCTCACCATCTCTCTCGCTCTCCAATTTTCCTCCCGCGGTGGGGAAGCCTAAAGGTAGCCACTCCCGGCACGGGGACCCGGAGCATTTTCCAAGCCTCACCTTCCCCATTTACTGGGCGGAGAAAAGGACGCTCACCGCCGCGGAGCAGGCAGTGCTCCGCCAGCGAGGCGCGCCCACTCGCTCTCCGGGCGCGCCTCCCCTTGGTGGGCCCGGCCTCCTCACCCTCGGGCGCCCTCCACACCCGCCCTGCCCCGGCCGCGCTCGCTCCTCGCGCCCACCGGCGACCCGCTCACCCGGATGCCCTGTAGCACCCGGACCCGCTCCTCCTCGTCCATTCCGAAAGACACCCTGCGGCCCTCGCTGCTCTCGGCGGCCCCCATAGTGGAGGCGGGCTGGCAGGCGGGCACGCGACCCGGCTCCAGAGCAACCAGTCCGACGCCGAACTGTCGCTTCCGGGACTCGGGCTGCTCTGGCACAAGTCAACAAAGTTACGTTTTATTGGATGTTGCTGGGAGTTCGGCCAATCATGTGGCATTGGCCCGCGCGGGATTGTGGGAATTGTAGTCCTGTAGGCCTGTCCTGTCTTGCAACCTGTGAGTATGGGAGGCGTCGGGGGCGGGCGTGGAAAACGCGTTGAAAGCGAAGCCACGGAAGCCTACACGAGGAGAGCCTCTCCAATGGCACGGTAAGTGTGGACAATACTCGCTTTGGAAAGGTCGCCCTTGAAGAAGAGCTGAGAGTAATGTTCTGAGGCCAGGAGACCACCGAGGTGCCTGAACTAAACTTGAGGAGGTGAATTTGTTATGGTTCTCGGCTTGGTTCATTCAACAAACTGATATTGAACACCAGGCAAGCATTGACCCAGGCGCCGGGAATACAGTGACCAACAGCCTTCCTGCTTTTTACATATAATAGGAGAAACAAATGAAAAGACAGACAAGCATGTAAATAAACTTGATAACCACTGTAATAAATGTCATGAAAGACATTAAAAAGAGGAATCCTTTTTTAATTTGGGAGGCCAGAGCAACCTCTCTGAGGAAGAAGCATTTGAACTGAGACCTAAGGTCCAGTAAGGAGTTATGGCCAGGAGAAGATGGGGAAAGAGCTTCGCTGGGGGCCAACTAGTGCAAAGGCCTTGAGTCAGGAAAGACCTTGTCACACTCAAGAAAGGGAGAGGGTCTAGCTGCATGAATGGAAAGTGGGACGCAAGCAGAGGAGAGCAAGAAATCAGGAGGTCAGACCAGGAGGGCCTTATATTCCAAAGTCAGAGTTTTATTCTTAGGAGGACAGTGAATGGTCATAAGCATTTAGGAGACATAATCCAAGGAGCATACATACCATGCATTGAGCACAGTGTGTTTGCTTCTCACACAAGCCATATGTGTACCGAAGGAACACAATTGATTGCTATTCGCAGCCATAGCAACCATGAATGAGGCCCCCTCTTGTTCATCTGAATTGCTGACTAGCTTTGCTTTGCCAAAGTGGGCCTGGAGTTAAGTTTGGAATCTAGAACGAGGGGAAGACTGGATGGCTCCATGAAATAGCAAGGATAATTTGGAGCTCCTTTTGGCAACAAAGAAAGAAAGGAGTGAGGAGGAGAGAATAAATGAGAGGAGACCAGTGAGACACTCTGACATGAGAATAGCTTGGGTGATTCCAGATGTGCAGCTGGGGAAGATATTTATGGACAAGGACATATGCTAATTTTATTCAAAATACTTTGATTTGCAAATCTCCCTCCATCCTCTCTGCCCTGCATTTCTTTCCTATAAGCAGAGCCTGAGTAGGGGATTCTGGAGCAAGTAGTTTATTAGGAAAGTGCTTCAGGAGAAAAAAAGTGAGGGAACAGAATAAGCTAAGTAAAGATGGAGTCAAAACTAGAGACTGACTTTAGCTTGATCCCACAGGGTGTTCAGGAGCACAAATTATGGCCATAAATAATCTCACTGTGACCATGAGATTGTGTGTGCCCCACCATCATCACCACCACCACCATCTGCAAAATCCTGGGACAAAATTGGGATTTCACAAGACTTAGCATGAGAGTTGCAATGACAACAGCATAGCTAAGCCTCATGAAAACACAAGTCCTGTGTTCCTATTTCAGAATGAGAAAACCGACTTGCAAACAGGTGAAGATAATGTTACATACATGCAAACAAAGTAAGATTGAGGATTAAATAAAGGTGGTGGCATAGGAAGAAGGAAAAGGGAAATTATTAATTTTTTTTTTTTTTTAGCCCCTTCTCTGTGTCAGGCTCTATGACACAGGCACGCATTATTTTTCATGCAGTCAATCCATGACCAATTGGGAATCATCCTGAGAGAGTTATTACCCCATTCTAAAGTCCAGGAAACTGAGGCTTTGGGGAGATAAGTGTGGCAGGCCCAGTAGTTGCTGGCTGATAACAATTTGTTCCTTCATACAACAGAACCCCAATTTCCTTTGGTGAAATAAGGTACTTCGTTAGAATATTGGCCTCTTAGGCTTCCACTGGCCAAACTTGGGACACTTTGAACATTAATAACACTGACAATGTGAATTTATAACAATTACATTTTTTAACCCAGTGGCCCATGTGGGGAGGGAAAGAGAGAGAATAGAAAAAAGGGAGAAAGTTCTTTACAAAAGAATGCCAGCAAATCAGTGTGAGATTTAAAAATTGTCATTTTGGAAGATGCAAGATGGCTGCAGTCTAAAGAAGTTTTGTCCACTTACGCCCAGCACTGGACAAGTTCTGTGTTCCTATTTCACAGACAAGAAAACCGAGTTGCAAACAGGTCTTGTGGCTAACCTGCAGAATATTTGACTTGAAAAGCCAGTGAAAAATAGCTGGTTTGAAATACTCCCACTAGGGGCTCTGAGAGGAGACAGGAAAAGATGAAGAGTGGGTGAGCAGAAGAAACAGAAATCTAAAACGAAAGAAAAAAGACAGATTCGAAAAGAAAAGAGACTCACAGACAAACATATTCAGAAAAGATGAACAATAGATGTATATCCACTCACAGGGAGAGACGGGAAGAGAAAGAGAGTTTGAGGGAGGGAGGGAGGAGGAAGAGGGAAGAGAGAAGAGTCCTTAAAACAAAGGAAACCAGCATCAAATGGAAAGGGAACCCCCTGGATAGGAGAACATTTTTGTTAATGATACATCTAATAAGGGGTTAGCTTCCAAAACATATAAAGAACACATACCACTCAAAAAAGGTAGGCAAACAATTAAAAAATGGACCAAGGACCTGAACAGACACTTACAGATGGCCAAGAGACATATGAAAAACTGTTCAAAAGCACTAATAATCAGAGAGATGCAAATTAAAGTGACAATGTATGAGATATCGTGTCACACCTGCCAGAATGGCTACCATCAATAAACCAACAAGTGCTGGTGAGGATGTGGGAAAAAAGGGAACCCATGTACACTGCTGGTGGGAATGAAGACTGGTGCAGTCACTATGGAAAACAGTGTGGAATTTCCTTAAAAAAATAAAATAGAACTGCCTACATAACTCTTTCCTTGATCTTCCTTTCTCTTTCTCTTCCCAGAACCCCTTCCCATTGCTTCAAAATAATAATTCCCTTATAGTTTATTTGGTAGTCCCCACTAGGGAATTAGTTGTTGGATCCTTGGGAGGCAAAGGTAGATTGAGGTATCTTCCTATTTGGAGGTGGTTGTGGAGGAGAAAGCCAGGAAGTGTGAAAATCCCTCCAAAGTGCCAAGGGTTGACCCAAGACAATAAGATCAGTTGACCAATCCAATATTCAGAAGTAGCCAAAAAGGGAAAACGGGGTGTGGGTGAAGAATAAGCATGAATGTGGCAGGGAGGCGAAGAAGTTTTCCACAGGTGGTTCCTGTGGCTGCTGCTAAGTGTTTATGTCTGCCCTTGATGGGCCTTTGGGAGACTGATAGCAGATAGGTTTTGTTGACCCAAAGGTTTCTGTAGGATGGATGAAACTTCCATGCTGCTACAGGATGGTTCCTGCAATCCCCTGGTTGAACTCCCAAATTTCCCCCTTACTGCTTTTTATAAGAAACAGGCTTTGTGTCTTTTGTTTCTCTGTGATGGGATAAATACAGAATAATCCCAATTTTATACTTTGTAAATGGAGAAGACTTAAGATCTTCCTCCAAGCCCAGCCTCGATATCTTTGCACTTAGAATTTCAGTCTCGCGAGTGTTGTAAACATCTTGTCTGCCAGAGCTAAGAAATTCACTCACATTCCCTGGCTGGTTGAGTTTCCTTCCCTGAGTTTATAGATATTCTTCATCACAGCAGAAGAGAGGTGCTTTGAGGTGTTTTAAATGTTTTCTGTCTACAGGTTTGTGGCCCATTACAATCATCTGTCAGATTCATAAAGCAATAGTATGTACTCATTCCTGTTGGTTGATTTTATTTAGACACTAATTCTTGTAGCTGTTAAAAAAGGAAGAAAGGCAGAGGCGGAGAGGAGAACACTCAGAAAATACTCACCCATCACCGTTAATGTCCAAGAAGCACACATAATGCTGCAAGATAAATAAATACAGATATAAAACCCATGAATCTTCTAATAATCAACAATTACTATTCTCCCAAATTGGAGACTGGAACTTGCAGAAACCAGCCACTTCTTGAATAACTATTACTCTACATCTTTTACCAAGAGATGACACTTATATAGTTGAGGAATAAATAAATTCTTATAGATGATATTATTCCTGCAAGTGAACAGGAACCAAATCAGAGAGGCCAATGTGCCGGCTCCAGTTTTATGAGGCCAGCTCCTGGAGAAGAGATGGAATCCTGGGTGATTCCTCCCAGCCCAGTGACACAGCTAGCTCTGTCACCTTCTGGTCACAGCCCTGAGACAGTCATTCCAGTGAAATGGGATGGCTGTCCTTAGATATTTCACAGCTGGAAAATAGCTAAAGCCGCAGCAGAAAAGATGTGGCCTTAAAGAAATCATCAATTTCATTTCCTTTTTTCCTCTGAACACTTTCTACATCCAGGGAGCATCACTCCAGCTCCTACGTGCTGAAAGGACACACCTGCATTCAAGGAGAGAGTCTTGGCCTGAGCGAGAAGGAGGGGCTGAGACCAAAGAGATGACTGTGCAAATCACACCCCAAAGTCCCTTCTCCCGCACCCTTGCCACGGTTGACTTTCTGCTGTTTCGTTTCATTCCTACTATTCGTGAGTGTCAACAATGCGCCAGCACGTGCTCCGCACTGATGAAACGGTGGTGAACACCTAGTGCTCCTTCCCTAGGTGTTCTAGTTTTCGGGGGAAGGTGCCAGACATTAATTAGAAAATTATACAAATGTGGCATTACAGGCTGGCGAGTGTAAAGGCTCTGAGAAGTAGAACAGTCTGGGCTGGTGGGAGCATGTGTTCCCACACTGTTTGCAGAGGGAAAGGCCAACAGGTCCCAGGCCTGGCTCTTAAAGTCACCATACTTCCTTGCCCAGACCTCTGGGAAGTGGGGCCATCCAATGCTGCTGGCCTCTGTTTGTGGGCTGTGGAAGCGACCCCAAACTACTCCAGAAGGCATCCTTCTCCTTGCCTCCCAGTGCCCTTTCACTCGCCTCCCTCCAGTGTCTCCCCTCCACACCATCCTCCGATTGCTTCCATCCTGCATCCCCTTTGGCCACTTGCTAAGATGTGGGCTCCAGCAAGTCAGAGCTTCTCTGTAAAATGGGGATAATCTCAGTAGCTCAGAGAGAATCAGAGGCCTCCTGTGAGGTTTCAGTGGGTCAGCATCTGCAAAGCAGACAGCGCAGCTTTTTATCCTCCCCTTTGCAGAACAATGCCTTTAGCACTTTCTGCTCTTCACAACTATCCATATGCCTTCCTCCCTAGGATGGGGCTCTCAGTAGTTGGCCCAGGACATTCTTTAGGTAAGGGTGCCTCTCCACTTCCTGTTTATCAGTGTATCCACACCAGGCTTTCCTTGTGCTTGTATGCATTACCTCAGTGGATTCAGGTCAGGCTCCCTATGTAGTTTAATTGGAACATAAGCCCCAGAGTAGCGGAGTCACTGAGTGGGCAGATGGGCAAGAGATACCAGGTATTCAGGGCTTCAGGCCACCAGGACACACTTGTGTGGGAGCCTGGAGCTGCCTGATTCAACCAGCAGAATGCAGTCTGTCCCCACTACTCCTCCGTAAGTAGGTTTTGGCTCTGGGGTGTGCTTAAAACAGGCTGAAGTCACACCAGAATCCTTTATCAATGCCAGGCCTGGGCCCTGCTGTGGGAGAGGCAGAGAGGCCACTGGGGCCTTGTGGCAGAGGAAGAACCCCGCCTCCTTATTTCTAGGGGATCCCAGGGAACTGGGAAGACCGTGATAGAGAGTCTGCATGTGAATCCACTGCACTGAGTGCTGGAGTCTGAACACAAAGAGCTCAGCCAGTCCACCCAGATAGCACAGCTCTTGTGCAGTGCTCTGCTTTAACCTCCCACTTGCTCCAATTGACCGAGATTCTGCACCTCCAGCTTGGAAACTTGCTGCCCAAATTATTCAAGAACCCCAACAGCTATGCAGAGACAGCGGCTCCCACCTGGGCTTGAGGTTGACAGTTGTTTGAATGATGGTCACGATACATTAAAAATAATATTTTTAATAAATTTGGGGGTAATTATTATATTTAGCATTATCCTTCCTACTTTTATGTGTTGCTTGAATTTTTATGCAGAAAAGTAGTGAGCATATTTTATTTTTGCTAAATTAATATTTATTTTAAAAAACAATGAAGAGATAAATGAGTTAACTGTACATGTAAGGAATAGGAAAAAGTGAAAAATGAATTCCAGGAAAAAGCAAAGGCAAATATAGTTCCTCATTATGTGGACCTTTTTATAGGTTTCTTTGCTGGAAGGGGAACATCCTTGGCTGAGAAAGCAGAAAATGCTAAGACCCCAAGGCAGTAATGGGTTTAACAAGGATTTAGAAGGATCAGGTCAGGAGATGACAACCTTAGAAGGACCAGGCCAGGCCATTCCTGCTGGTGCTGTGGTTGAGCCCCTCTGTGTAGTGGGATTTCATTCATTCATTGCAGAGCAGAGGGCTGTAAATCACCATGACTAAGATTAACTCTGAGGTCCTCCACCTACCCATACACCCAAATAACGGATACAGGATTCCTGTCTGGCACAAATGACTTCGAGGTCCCTGTCTTAGAGAAGCCTCCAGAATTCTATGTATTGGGTAGGGACTTAGAGATAGCAACCTAGGAAACTCATTTTACGATAGGGAGCATAGTATTTTAATTTAGTTTGTGGGAAGTACACTTTTAAAAATATCATTCTTCACAATTTTGTAAGATTCAGACATCCTCGTTGCAGACTATTTTTAAAGCTGATGGAGATTATAAGGCGTGAAAAATCCTCCACAGGGGGCACCCGTGGGAGGATGCACAGACATCCATGGGCGGCCTTGGGATGATGACAAGGATAATGAGGATATACGGAGCACCCACCCATTTTTTAAATTTTTAATATTTTCGTTGATTTTAAAAAATTTGATTTGAGAGAGAGAATGGAGAGATACACACACACACACACACACACACACACACAGGGATAGGAAATCGAGCCTACAGGACTGGATCCGACCTGCATGCAGGTGCGTGTCCTTCCTTGGGTATCGAACCCCGGGGCCCTCGGGGATAAGGCCACATTCTAACCTCTACTCAGAGCCCCGAGAGCCACAGCCTCACCCACTTTGGGAGTGTAGTTGACACCCGCACAGCAGCCTAGTTCGCATGCGCGCGGGGGCGTGGCCTGGGCGAGGTGGGATGGGGCCGGGGGCGGGACCGGGGCGTGGAGGGCGGAGCGTGGCCGGCGAGGGGGCGTGGCCGAGGCGAGATGGGGCGGAGCCGGGGCGAGATGGGGCAGGCCCAGCGCGGGGGGCGGGGGCGGGGGCAGGGCCGGGGCGTGGAGGGCGGGGCGGGGCGGGGGCGGGGGCAGGGCCGGGGCGTGGAGGGCGGAGCGAGGCCGGCGCGGGGGCGAGGGCGGGGGCAGGGCCGGGGCGTGGAGGGCGGGGCGGGGCGGGGGCGGGGGCAGGGCCGGGGCGTGGAGGGCGGAGCGGGGCCGGCGCGGGGGCGGGGTCGGGGGCAGGGCCGGGGCGTGGAGGGCGGGCCGGCGCGGGGGCGAGGGCGGGGGCAGGGCCGGGGCGTGGAGGGCGGGGCGGGGCGGGGGCGGGGGCGGGGGCAGGGCCGGAGCGTGGAGGGCGGAGCGAGGCCGGCGCGGGGGCGAGGGCGGGGGCGGGGCGCGGGGCGGCGTGTGGCATCTGTAGCAGGTGTGGACGTGGGTGGCGTTTGCGGTTCCTCCTTCCAACCCCAGGCCGGGCGCTGCGGCCCGCCGATCGGTCCCTCTGACCAGGCCTGGCCGGGCCGGGCCAGGAGCAACACCGAGGCTCTGGCGCATCCGTCGCCGCCGCCGCCGCCGTCGCGGGCACAGAAGTCGCCGGGGCCGGTTAAGGTGGGCGCCGCCCCCAACCGCCGCCTGGGCGGCGTCCACAGCGAGCCCATGTCGTCGCTGCCGGGGCGCCGGACTCGCCATTCACCCCCCGAGACCAGCGGCTTGTCCTCCGAGGCCCGCGAAGAACTCAGGCGCCGCCTGCAGGGCCTCATCGAGGACAACCGGGTGATGATCTTCAGCAAGAGCTACTGTCCGCACAGCAAGCGGGTAGGCGGGGCGGGGCGGGGCCGGGCGTCCTTCCTCCGGCGCCCTGGGACCTCTGGACTCGGGCTGCGGAGCGTTGCCTGTCCGCCCTCGGATGCAACCCCGCGAGGCCCAACGACTCCCCGGGACTCCCCGGGTCTGGGGTGTAGCCCGTAGCCAGGACGGGGACCTTTTGCACTGCCCTTTGGCTTCCGGGGAGAGGCGGTCGCTGACTTGTTCGGGGACTGTAGCTTGTGGGGTTAACCGCCCGTCTCTCCCTCCTGGTTGTTAGTCTGATGTGGGCTTATTTATCAAGTGTTTATTCGGAAGAGTAAAGTATATATATTAAAAAACACAAACTTTTGTCCCTAACCGGTTTGGCTCACTGGATAGAGCGTCGGCCTGCGGACTAAAGGGTCCCGGGTTGATTCTGGTCAAGGGCCATGTACCTTGGTTGCAGGCACATCCCCAGTAGGGGGTGTGCAAGAGGCAGCTGGTTGATGTTTCTAACTCTCTATCCCTGTCCTTTCCTCTCTGTAAAAAAAAAATAATAATAAAATAAATAAAATATATTTTAAAAAAACAAAACCTTTTGGCCTGTTAAGAGTAGTGCAAGGAATGGCCAGGGCTTGGGAGTAGGAGACTAGAGCTGGAGTCAGGTCCATCTTCCTCACCTTGAGCAAGTTAAGAACTCCGCGGAGCCCTGGTTTCCACACTTTGTAAAATGAACTTTTTGTAAAGTGTGGCTTTGATTATACATTTCCTGATGAAGTTGAACATCTTTTCATGTGTTTAGGGGCCATTTGAGTTTCCTCTTCTATGAAACTTCCAGTCCTTTTGCTTTTTTCCTCTATCAGGCGGTTTTGTTTTTGTACTGATTTGTAGGTATTCTTTCTATGTTTTGGATATAATCCTTTGATTATATGTATTGGAAAATCTCTCAGATTTGTTTTTTTCTTTTACCTTTATGAGATATTTTGGTTAACTGAAGTTTGCAAGTTTAATGTCGTTGAATCTATCACCTTTTTCTTTTATAGTTTGTGGGTTTTGGGTCCTTATTTAAGAAATCAGTTTCTGCTGTTTTCTCATTTTTCTGGTATGCACACTATGTGTATGTTAATGCACTTAATGGTGTCCCATGTTTCTCTGAGACTTTCTGTTTTTATTCATTCTTTCTTCTCTGCCTGTTCAGGTTGCATAATCTCTATTGATCTGTCCTCAAGTTTACTAATTCTCCTGCCAACTTGAATCAACTGTCGAGATATTCTAGTCACCTTTTCATTTTATTTTTGTAATTTTTTTAACTTTATAATGTTCATTTGGATTTTTTTTCATCATTTCTATCTGTATAGAGATATTTCTATCTGAATAGAAATATCTCTATCTGTATAGAGATATTTTACAATGGCTACTTTAACTATTTGATATGACATCTGGGCCTCTCACTGATAGTTTCTCTTGCCTGATTTTTTTCCTGTGAAGGGACCCACTCTCCTGTTTCTTAGTATGACTGGTAATTTTTTGTTGAAATCTGGACATTTTACTGTAAGTAATATATTGTAGCAAGTTTAGATACTGGACACCTCTTCCTCTGTGGCTCCTTTGTTTGCTTGTTTATTTCCTTGTAGTGAGTTTGCTGGTTTAATTTAGGGATGTTTATTTCCATCCAAAGATGAAGCCTTTGGCGTCACTCCTCAGAGTGCAGCCTTGAGTATGTACACAGTCACCGTGGGATGACAGGGATTTTAGCAGCGCTCTTGTCTGTATTAAATTTTTTGGTCTCTACTGGTATCAGACCCAGATATTATGCACCATTAATTTCAGGCTGGTTGTGCTTTTATTTTTTACAATGTCCTGGAGGGTAAATTGTTCCACACTCTTATCTAATTAAATCTAGGCCCCTTTGCAGAGAGAGTTTTTATGGCAAGTTTAAGGCTATTCTTATCCTAGAAATACTAGTCTTAGCTCTCTCTTTGTTGCCTTTTTTTTTTTTTTTTTTTTTGGTGTGTGTGTGTGTGTGTGTGTGTGTGTGTGTGTGTGTGTCCCCTTTATTACTTTTTTCTTTCTGGTTAACTAACTGTCTTATTGTTCTCCTGGAACTACCAGCCTCCTCTTCATTGCTTATCGTCAAAATTCCCATTATTTTCAAGACCACATTTGGACTTGAACTTCCCCATAGTTTAAAGTAATTTCCTTTGGGTAGAGCTTCTGAGTTCTCTGATCTTATGGTTTACCTCTTCCCCTGAGCAAAATCTCTGAGACCTTGCTCACAGCCTGGAATTTCACCTTACAAGTGGGCTGAGGCCAGGGTGATCAGGTCCCTGGTGTATTCACCGTGGGGTAAAGCCTTCAATCTCTGAGTGAGGCTGGGTGTTGTAGGGGATCCCCATGCTTTTGGCTACACTCGTCAGGAATGTAGCCTTTGCCACTCAGAACTGTGGGGAGACTGAGAAATGCTGGTGGTTCATCCCTTTTGGAGACTAGGTATCAGGGACTTGGCTGCTCACTTGAAGTGGAGCTTCTGTCAAGCTGACCCAGGACAGAGGAAGGAGGGTGTGGATTAAGGCTTAAGTGCCTCAGACTTTCCCTGTTCATATTGACTTCTAGAAGATTTTCTTTAATACACGTTCTACATTTGTTGTGTGCCCTTGGGTCAATTTCCAGAGACTTTCAATGGTTATTTTAAAAATAATTTCACCAGGTGTGGATGTTCTGTTAGGGAGTGACTCTGCCAGCCTCCTTGTCTCCATCCTGGAATCAGAACCTCTCTGGGCTGTAGAGGACCTTGAAGAGTTTAAGTAATGGTGAAAAGTAGGCTTTAGAGTCTACTTTTGGTTGCAATTTAGGGAACTGGAAGGGACAAAGCTGGATGTTACTGAGAAACTGCTCAAATTAAGATAGCAACTGTTGGGAATTAGAAAGGTGAACTAGCTCAGCATAGAGGATTGATACCATTTACTAATTAATTGGATGGATGGGGAGTTAGTGTGGGGTAGGAAAATGTTCCAAAAGAGGGAGTATTAAAATGACTCAAAATCTCTCAGACCTTGCTCACAGCCTGGAACTTCACCTTACAAGTGGGCTGAGGCCAGGGTGATCAGGTCCCTGGTATTTTCATCTTGGGGTAAAGCCTTTGCTTCACAAAGTTGTTAAAATGCAGGTTTTGATCCAGGATCTGGTTCCTTGTCCAATAAGCTGCTTGGTGATGCCTGTGCTGCTGATCCTCTGTCTCCTATTTAAATATTATAGCAAGGCCCTGGGTTTCTTCTTGTTCAGGCAACTGGTGAATAGTGGCAGTGTGAATTGTCAATGTTTTTGTCTGTTTCCCCTCCTGGAGGCAGGGATTGTGTCTACTCATTGTTATAGCTTGACTACATAGTAGGTATTTGATGGATAAATTTTTGTTGAATACTTTAATGACTATTGAAAGGAAATAAAAAGAAGAAAATGTATGTAGGAAATGATGAGTTTTATTTTTGGGCAAATTGCATGTGATGTGCCTGGGGACATTCTATTTTTGTCAGTCTTGAGTTCTGAAAAGGGATTTGGGCAAAAGTTGAAAGTTGAGGATTCAAATGGTAAAATAAGGGAAGCAATGGGCTGAGATTACTCTGGAAAGATGTATAGAGGAAGGGAGTAAAAAATAAATAAACCACCCTGGATGAGTAGCACAGTTGGCTGGAGCATCATCCCACACACCAAAGGTGGAGGGTTCAATTCCCAATCAGGGAACGTATCTAGGGTGTGGGTGCAATCCGTTGCTGGGGCACATATGAGAGGCAGTTGATCAATGTTTCTCTCCCTCTCTTTCCCTTCCTCTCTCTCTAAAATACATCAATAAAAACATATCCTTGGGTGAGGATTAAAAAAAAAAAAAAACCACCATAGTCTAGAGCTCATATATCTGAAGAACATTTATTTTGGACATCTTTATTACTGTGTCCATGTTTCATAACTGTTGACTCTGTGAGAGTAAAAGCAAATTTTTGTTGCAGGTTAAAGAACTCTTTTCTTCTTTGGGAGTTGAATATAATATCTTAGAACTTGATCAAGTAGGTAAGTGGAATAGATAGTATATACTATTGTTTCAGTAAATTTCAAGATTTCAAAATTTCAAGATTGCTTCTTTTCATTTGCTTTGTTCAGCTCAGTTTACTCTTGTCTCTTTGGTTTTTTCTACATTTAACCATGTAAAAAAATGAAACTCTCAATATAGGGCAGATAATTTGGTATAGTTTTTTTATTTATATACTAGAGGTCCGATGCATGAAATTCATGCAAGAGTAGGTCTTCCTTCCCCTGGATGCCAACACCAGCTTCTCTCTGGCACCTGGGACCTGGGCTTCCCTCCGGCCGCAGCACCTGGAACCCGGGACCTGGAACCCAGCTTCATCCAGAAGGTCATCAGGTCTAATCAGCATATTACGCTTTTATTATTACAGATTTTTGGTATTTGAGGGGAGGAGAAAGATGTATAAGCTGCTAACCTTAAAGCACTTCAGACATTTCAGATGTATCTGGTAACTTTCTAGCAAAATAGATTAAGCTATAATAAGTGAAAAGAATCTGCCCCTATTTCCTGATTGAAGTACCTATGAATTATTGCATTAAACTTTTAGCTTTCATTTTTGAATTCTTGTCAGACATGCATTAATTATCTAATATTAATTGAGCACTTTACACATGCATATGTTTTGCAGAGGTGGGAGACAGAGTGGTGAACACACAAAAAAATGAATGTCTGCCTTCATGGGACTTCACCAACTCCTTTTAACCAGGCACCTTAATAAGTGAAATGTTCTTAAGTTTGTGAGACTTTTCTAAAGTGCATACCCCATAGTTTTAGGTAGTTGTTTCCTGGTTTTATTTTTAGTGATAGAGGACATATTTTGGACTTTGATCATAAAGATTTTTCAAATATAATTGTCGGAAATATTTTCAGAGTTATTACTGTTGATATTTGCTATTTTCTATTTAAAGAAGATTTTATTTAATATTTTCTGTTTAAAGAGGATTCTAATCTAACCAAGAAATTATATATTAGAATCTAACTTAAAGGGTTTATTTTCAAATGAATCAGATGCTTCATCTGTATTCTCAAAGGTGTCTCTTAAAGTCATTTTTTTCATAAAGTTAGATAATACACTGACCTTGTGTGGATGTGGATGTGGGAGCACTTAAGTGTTATAACACTTCATTTTGACTCACAGAGGTTTGGAACCCTTTCAGTCTTATTATATATTTAACTTTTTATTCTTTAGATGATGGGGCCAATGTTCAAGAAGTACTGTCAGAGATCACTAATCAGAGAACGGTGCCCAATATTTTTGTGAATAAAGTACATATGGGTGGATGTGACCGAACTTTCAAGGTAATAATGGCATTGTGTGTTTTTTGTTCAAGTTTTGTTTTTAAAAATATTTAAAAGGGGATAAAGTGATTTTTAGGAGTCTATTAGTCTTTTGGAAATTGTTAGATGAAAAGTGTATAGGATGCTTATCAGATAACTTTGATTATTACTTTGACAGAAATTAGCTTTTCTACCAACTCAGACTTCAGAAACTAAGAAAAAGAATGTTTTGAGTGAGGTTGCTGGACAACCAGGTGGACCACCCTGGAGACCTTGGTCTCTTCTTCCTGGAGAGGGGAGAAACAAGATCTGTTCTTTCTTTATCGTTTATTAAAATGAGGTCAATGCTAACATTCTTGGCTAGGGTAAGTAAAATTCCTGCCAAGGCTGCTAACCCTGGGAGCTTTGCAAAGGTTCATGCCTTTAAACTTTTGGTTCCTAGAATGCAGAAATAAATAGGAATCATTCAGTTAAACAGTAGTAGATAAAAACTGGTGTTTATTAAATAAGATTCTTATTTTATAACTAGTTATTTATTTTTATTAAAATTCTGCTCTCATTCTTTATGTATGTATGCAAATGATAGTAACCAGTGATTGTTTAAGTATTTATATATGAAAAATTTTTAATATACTTTTATTAATTTTTAGAGAGAGGAAGGAAGAGGGACAAGGGAGAGAGAGAGATAGAAACCTTACTAAGAGAGAAACATTAATCTGCTGCCTCCTGCAACACCTCCTAGTGGGGATCAAGCCTGCAACACAGGCTGCCCTGACTGGGAATCGAGCTAATGACCTACCTCTTGGGGTATGGTTGATGTTCAACTACTGAGCCACATTGGACTATATCTGAAATTATAATTAAAATTATACTCATTTGGGGGGGAAAAGAGATGATCTACATTGTATCTTAATCTTTTGCTTAGTATTGTTAATCAAGTAACAGTCTGTTCTATTAGTCCTAGAAGCTATGGTGATAAGTACTGTAATCATAGACCCTAAATACCTCTGCCAATCCTAATGTAGAAAATGATGGCCGAGGATGAATCTGGAGATGTAGAGATAGTCACTCTATTTTAAGATTAAAAGGCCTAGGACAGTGGTCAGCAAACTCATTAGTCAACAGAGCCAAATACCAATAGTACAACAATTGAAATTTCTTTTGAGAGCCAAATTGTTTAAACTTAAACTTCTTCTAATGCCACTTCTTCAAAATAGACTCACCCAGGCTGTGGTATTTTGTGGAAGAGCCACACTCAAGGGGCCAAAAAGCCGCAGATAGCTCGAGAGCCATGGTTTGCTGACCACGGGCCTAGGAGACAAATTTCTCACATGGTATCTAAAAGTAAGGAGGCCAAAGGAGTTCTTTTTAGAATGTGCCGAAAGCATCCATCCTTCAGCATCCACATTGCATCTATTGAGTCCTGCAGTTTGATAGCACTACTGTTGTGCTTCCCCGGATGGCATTGCTAAAGCTAACATAATAGGATTGAAGAACTAACTTCATATAAAGAAAACTATTGCTAAATTACATTTGATCCTCTAACCTCATTTAAACTACTTCTGATCACAAGGAGGGCCAAATGGACAAGAGAATATAGTGAAGAGCCAGGCTCATCATCATTGTTGAAAGAAAAAGCAAAATGCAATTTTATATAAGAAATTTGTCAATAAGCTGCAAATTTTAGATCAATTTATGAGAAACCATGAGATATTTGAAGTGTGTGTCCTACTGAGGATTCATAAGAATTATTTTCAAAAGGAATCCTAGCACAGATGAACAAAATGTAGAGGAGGGTGGTATTTAGCTACTTTATTGTGCTTAGGTATAATATTTAATTGATTAGGCCAAAGAAAAGGAGCTCATCTGACAGATATAAAGCCATGATTTCTGAGTCATTTGACACATACCTACCTATCAGGAGATAATAAACAAACATGTACTTTGGCATACATTCTTAACTAGATGGACCTTATTTGAATACCATTCAGATAAATTTAAATTCCAGTTTACATGAATTGTAGATTGTTTCTAATCCTATATCACAAAAGGGTAATATGTAAATTGACCCTAATGGGGGAATGACTGGTTGCTATGACACGCACTGACCAACAGGGGACAGATGCTCAATGCAGGAGCTCCTCCCTAGTGGTCAGTGCTTCCACAGGGGAGCCAGCTTAGGCTTAATACCCACTCCTCACCCTCCCACCCCCCAGTAGCAAGCCCAAGTCATTAGTTGTACATTCCCCGAGGACTCTGGGACTACCAGGGGGATGTCTGACTGCCCATTTAGGCCCAGTCCCCCAGGGAGCGGGCCTGAGCTAAAAGTCGGACATGCCCTGAGAGATCCAGGACTGTGAAAGGGCGCAGGCTGGGATGAGGGACTTCCTTCGGTGCACAAAAATTCATGTATTTTTATAAAAGAAATCAATGCTAATTAAACATAGGGTAAAAGGAAACAGTTTTAAAACAAGTCATACCATATTCTCTCATTAAACCATAGGCACATCAGAGTGGTTTATTACAGAAGCTTCTTCAAAAAGAATCAACATACGATTATGATCTCATTGTCATTGGTGGTGGTTCTGGTGGCCTTGCATGTGCTCAGGTATGAAAAAAGTAAAACTTGGAGATAATTTCCCTGATGTTCCCTGATGATTGTCATTAGACTTTTCTTCTGCTACTAAAAAAAAAAAAAAAAAAAAAAAAAAAGCCAATTTTGATGTTTCAGTCCAAGCTTTTACTGTAATAGCTGGTTTCATAAAGAGAAAAGACTATGTTATGGCACAAACACAGCCTTTTTATTTAGGGAATAGAAAAATTGGGGGAGGGAAATGACAACATCTTTACATGTCACTGTTTTCCTTAGGAAGCTGCCATTTTGGGAAAGAAAGTAATGGTGCTAGATTTTGTGGTCCCGACACCTCAGGGTACATCCTGGGGTAAGCTGTTTTTCTTTGTTGTTCTTTGCTCTTTACGAACATTTTTGCTTTGTTTAATCTCATTTAATCCTCACAACAATCTCAGAAAGTATGACTAGCCTGTTCCATAGGTGAGGAAAATGGGTCTCAGTGAGGTAAAATAATTGTCCTAAGACCATTGCATAGTTAACAGGTGCTTAGGGGAGATTAAAACAAAAAACAAAAAATAAAAACAAAACTCATGACCTAGTATTCCAACACTTTTGCCATAATTTTTATACACATGCATTTAATATTCTCACATAGTTGTGATTGTAGTGTAGGCTGTGTCATGCTCACTTAAGTTTTCTGTAACTTTTTTTGTGTTTCTGTATTGATTTAATAACTGACTTTCATGGCTGTATGATAGTCATCTGAATGGTGTGTGTGTGATTGTTCCAAGTCAGTTTAATGGAGTGCAGAGTGAGCGTAAGGCCTGGGACTTTGCTGTAGATGAGAGTGCTTACCTTTCCACATTCTTTCCACTATAAAATAGAGCACACAGATTTTGTGCTGGATATTTTCTGTTTATCCTTTAATCCCATTCTTTTTGGTCTCCACCCTACTTTATGTCCTAGAAGGTTGATGAGTTAGTATTATATCTTTGCCCTCTGGCTTCTGGCTAGCTTGGCCATTTGGGGAAATGGGAAGAGAGCAGAAGGAGGGAGGAGAATGGAGTGGGGGGGGTCTTCATTTTCTTGGTTCCCTCCCTGCTGGTTGCTGCAAGCTGGCTCCATCTCCAGCGGAAAGCCACAGCCCTTCTGGTCTATGTCACCTATTTGGTGTTCTTACCCCTTCATGTAGGGTTGGTGATGAGCCCACTGTTAGTAGTTGCTACTGTTGTTCTATCCCTCCTTGCTTTCTTGCCCACACCTCAGTAATAATTTGTCATCTATTTGCTGCCAGAAACCTGGCAAAATATGAAAATTATTTTTAAAAATTAAACCTTACTAAAAAAAAATATAGCCAAGCCGAAACCGGTTTGGCTCAGTGGTGGAGCGTCGGTCTACGGACTTAAGGGTCCCGGGTTTGTTTCCGGTCAAGGGCATGTACCTGAGTTGTGGGCACATCCCCAGTAGGGGGTGTGCAGGAGGCAGCTGGTCAATGTTTCTCTCTCATCGACATTTCTAGCTCTCTATCTCTCTCCCTTCCTCTCTGTAAAAAATCAATAAACTATATTAAAAAAATATATATATAGCCAAGAATTTTATATTAGTTAAGCTAATTTGCTTTGCAGTGGACCCACTGTTGGCTCAAAGGAGTCAAGTTACAAAGAGAAAAGTCTGGAATCTGGGGTTCTGGCTGTTGATGTAGTATATAATTAATCTAATGCAGTTCTGATCCCTTCATAGGTCATACCCAAATGAAAGTTTGGACAGCATCTCCAAATGCACAACCACTTTTTGCTCATCCTTGGGCCTCTTTCAGAGACCTGTACTTAAAATGTCTGGGTTAATCATTTGAATGTTATTGTGGAGTATGGTGTTGATCCTACAACCATTCAAATTTGTCATCTCTATATTTTAACTTAAAAAAAAAAAACTTTTATTGATTTCAGAGAGGAAGGGAGAGGGAAAGAAAGATAGAAACAACAATGATGAGAATCATTGATTGGCTGCCTCCTGCATGCTCCACAGTGGGGTTCAATCCCACACCTAGGCATGTGCCCTAACTGGGAATTGTACTTTGACCTCCTAGTTCATAGGTTGATGCTCAACCACTGAGACACACCAGCCAGGCCATTTCCATATTTTAATAACACTGACTCCACACATGTGTAAAACAACACACACACACACACACACACACAGCCCTAACTGGTTTGGGATAGAGCATTGGCTTGTGGACTCAAGGGTCCCAGGTTAGATTCTGTTCAAGGGCATGTGCCTTAATTGCAGGCACATCCCCAGTAGGGGGTGTGCAGGAGGCAGCTGATTGATGTTTCAATCTCATCGATGTTTCTAACTCTATCCTTTTTTGTAAAATAATCAATAAAATATTTTTAAAAATTAAAATTATTTTCTTTCTCAGGTCTTGGCGGTACTTGTGTAAATGTAGGTTGTATTCCTAAGAAACTGATGCATCAAGCTGCTCTTTTAGGGCAGGCATTAAGAGACTCAAGGAAATTTGGTTGGGAGTATAATCAACAAGGTGGGTAATCTATATATATAAAAGCTTAAGTGACCGGCTGACCAGCCGACCAGGAGCTGTGACATGCAATGACCACCAGGGGCAGACGCTCAATGCAGGGTGACTTGGCAGCTGTGGTTCTCAGGTGACACACCAGGAACCAGAGAGGAGGGAGCCCGATTCTAGGGTGTGTTACCCAAGAACCACCCTCTCACAATTTGGGATGTATTGGGGAATGTCAGAGAGCTAGTTTTGGCTGATCCCCACAGTCCAGGCTGAGGGGTGCACAAATCCATGCATTGGGGCTCTAGTGCAGTGGTTGGCAAACTGCAGCTGGTGAGCCACATGCAGCTCATGAGCCACATGCAGCTTGCGAGCCGCGGTTTGCCGCTCTGTTGACTAATGAGTTTGCCGATCACTGACTTAGACTCTCGATTCCAATAATTACAGGCTGTTGTTGTTCCTTGTGATTAAGCCCCTATCCCAGTGGTTGGCAAACTCATTAGTCAAAGAGCGGCAAACTGAGGCTTGAGAGCCTCGTGACTCTCAAGCCGCAGTTTGCCAACCACTGAGTTAGATGGATGCATGCTAAGAGAGGAAAAGCTACATTTTATTCAGCGACAAAGCAATTTTTAGAGCATTAAATAAAAAGTACAACTTATGTAAACAAACCACACAAAAGAAATACTCATATTTCTTGTGTATATAATAGCATATAAAGGGGTGTGTAAGGATTTAGACTGAGCAGAGGAAATGGGCAGGAAAGAAGCCAGAATTGGTGGCTGTAGTGGAATATAAAAATAAAGATTGGGAGAAAAGAAAGAATGGATTTCTTAGAGAAAGACTTGCTATTTGTATTTCTATAGCTGAGTTTAAAATTTGTTTAATAAACATTCATTAGGAGCCTTCTGTGGTTCTGCTCCTGATTGCATAGGTTTGAGGTGGGTCCTAGAATCTGTATATTTTAACATGATTCCCAGGGGTCCTAATGTGCAGCCATGTGTGAACCTCTAATATAGAATGTGTTTTGCAACAAGAACTAGAAATAAGAATATGAAGTGTGAATTCAACTGATAAGATCCTTGGGATAAATGATACTTTAAGGGCTGGAAAAATAGCTTTTCCAACTATTTGGGGGAATGAGGCAGTTATCTTAGGATAGGAGGGTATGCGCCACTGCTGGGTCTAACCTCCCGGGAACATAGGGTGGGTGTTGGGTAATGTAGTAACAGAATAACTCTCTGGATTATAAAATCGTAGTTGACTTTTATTATAAACGTTTACATTGGCCAAGCCTTTCTGCACTGTGACCTCTTTCTCTTGCCTACACCGTGATGTCCCATGTTCCTGATGATCAGTGGTGGGCCCTTCTTGAGAGTGCTAGAGGCGGTGAGTCTAGTCTCCCAGTGTGACCAAAGGTGAACCCTCAGTTGGCTGGTTTGTCTTCAGGGATTCATGTAGTTTGATGGGAGCCGCCGGCTGGCTTCTGTGTCTTATAAATATGGTGGTGCACAGAGATGGTGTCTCCTTTGGGAACCAGCATCAGCAGATAAGCTGAATGCCTGGAAATAAACTCTACCTAAAATGGGAAATCTGATTCCATCAACTTCCATCCCAACTTCAAAAGGAAGTGCATAGCATTTTAATAAAAATGACATGCAATGGTGATACCGACCACATTTATCATAAAGAAATATAGGATATTTACTATCATAAAACCACCACCAGGTGAACCAAATGGGACTAGCCTGGGCCTATCTGGGAGGCAAATATGCAGTGCTCGCTGACCTGAGACTTGCTTCCCTTCACATGTAGAAGGCCACGTGCAACAAGCCAGCCATGTGAAAATGTCCATCTGTGCTCCTGAGAAGTGATGATCTTTTTGCCTCATAACTTTGCGTGCATGGCCATGAGAGAGCCAGTTTTCTCCTTTCTGTACTCCATGGATATTTTATCCAGTTTTATTCTTTTCAGAATTATACTTTTTGCATGTCTTATAATATAAAAGAGGAAGAAGTATAAACCATAACTGGTATTAAAAAGGTTTAAGTTGCTAATTATTTTCTGTTCATTTCTTGATTTTTAAAGCAACATGTCATGTGGCTTGTGCGTTTCTATATCATTTACCATTTACAGTAAAATTCACTTGATAACTTCACCCTGGTTACTTATTTTCAGTAAAGCACAACTGGGAGATCATGACAGAAGCTATTCAAAACCACATTGGCTCTCTAAATTGGAGCTATGGGCTGTCTTTGAAGGAGAAGTCTGTGACTTATGTAAATTCCTATGGAGAATTTGTCGAACACCATAAAATAAAGGTACTCTCTGAATATTTTGTCTTGTTCTTTGCTTTTCCTTTATCACTGCTTGTACTTGCCTTGAACTAAAATTCCATATTTATGTTAAGGACGATAGCTAGTGCATGCTCCTCCATTGTTAGTGCATTTCACAAGTCTGGCTAACTTAAAGAAATTGCCTTTTAAAGAAAACTCTTAATTTAAAGTTATTTGCCATCTTTTTAAAAATATATATATTTTATTGATATTTTTACAGAGAAGAAGAGAGAGATAGAAAGTTAGAAACAGTGATGAGAGAGACATCGATCAGCTGCCTCTTGCACACACCCCACTGGGGACATGCCCGCAACCAAGGTACATGCCCTTGACTGGGATTGAACCTGGGACCTTCCAGTCCATAGGCCGACACTCTATCCACTGAGCTAAACAGGCTTCGGCTATTTGCCATCTTTAAAATTTTTTTTTAAATTAATTTCAGAGAGGAAGTGAGAGGAGACAGTGATGAAAGAGAAACATGGATTGGTTGCCTCCTGCACACTTCCAACTGAGGCTCAAGCCTTCACCCCAGCATGTGCCTGACCAGAGTGCAGGCTCAATGAGCACACTGGCCAGGCTCATTGCCATCTTAAAAGAAAAAGTTTAGCCAAAACCAGTTTGGCTCATTGGTAGAGTGTCAGCCTGTGGACTGGAATGTCCCGGGTTTGATTCCGATCAAGGGCATGTACCTTGGTTGTGGGCACATCCCCAATGGGGGGTGTGCAGGAGGCAGCTGATTGATGATTCTCTCTTATCAATGTTTCTAACTCTCTATCCCTCTCTCTTCCCCTCTGTGAAAAATTAATATACTAAAAATAAAGAAAGAAAAGAAAAAGTTTAAACAATTTTAAAAAATCAAAATCTTAATAGTGTTAATTCTCTTTAAAAATGAAACCTTAGTAATGAAAACTTTAATATATATTATTTATAAAAGTATTAATAAAGGTAGCATAAGAATTAGTATATTTTATAAATTTATATATGTAATGTTTATGTATTATACAATCAATATGTAAGGAAAATAAAACCGTTTTAATAAACACAAAATTTTTAAATTGGAGTTATGAAAGACGGTCAGATATCATCCTCAACACCTCGTTTATTTTTGTACTCTGCTTTTTATAGCACAGAGTGCAATGATCTTGACAGAATTTGAGGGTATTTTGTAGTCATTTCTTGTCTCTAGAAATGTGAGAGGTGGTCCAATTAAAGCTACCCTTTTAGAACTATACATGGGCTAATTTAAATGGCATCATTCATATGGGACATAACTAGAAATACCTGGTATATGCCAGTCAGTTTCCGTTCTCGCACTGTCATATACCTGATAGAGTTGGTTGAATAAGCCCATCATTCTCAGCCAGACTTGCCTCTTCTATGCTTGCTCACTTAGTGACACCAGTGTCTCTCCAGTTACTCCAGCAAGAAACTGCACTTCCTCCCACTTCATCCTCACAGCTTGCACTGTTTGTTTGTAGCAGCTCCCTGTCTCCAGGCCGCCCTCCCTCTATCCCACTGAAACCACCTCCTAGTTTAAACACTTCCATCACTTTTTGAATTTTTAAAATGTGAATATACCCCAGTTGGCTTGGCTCAGTGATTGAGAGTTGACTATGAACCTGGAAGGAGGTCACGGTTTGATTCCCAGTCAGGACACATGCCTGGGTTGTGGGCTCGATCCCCAGTAAGAAGGAGCCAATCAATGATTCTCTCTCATCATTGATGTTTGTATCTCTCGCTTTCTGGGGGGGGGGGGGAGTTAATATATTTATGATTTACTTGTATAATTGAAAATAAAAAAAACAATGAAAACCTTTGGTGATATTCCATAGCCTGGATTTGTAGGATGGCATAGAAGCATCTTTACATTTGGCATTAATCTATGTGACTTCACCTCCAACACATACTGTACTTTCCTCTTCTGGCACTTCTGGCAACTTGCTGTTCCCCAGATGCCAGCTACTTTCGGGCCTGTGTGCATATATGTGTGTACTATTCTCTCTTTAGATGTCAATTTCTCTGAATAATCTTTTCACTTTTCTCATCCCTACTTAAAATGTTACTAACTTTGGAGTCATTCTTGCCTAGCTTTCCAGTCCCCTCCTCTACCCCCACTATGGTCTTTTGGTTAATGTTTTTTAAAGACTTCTGTTTTCTATGGTGGTACTTATCATACTGTATTGCTATTTTTGCATATCTGTTCCTATTGATGGGAAGCTCCATAAGGGTGGTGTCTGGTACTTTGTAGTATTGGTTGAAAAGTGAAGTTTACTTTTCTTTTTTAAAGGCAACCAATAGAAAAGGACAAGAGACTTATTATACTGCTGCAAAATTTGTCATAGCAACAGGTGCAAGGCCACGGTATTTAGAAATCCAAGGAGATAAAGAATACTGTATTACTAGGTAAGAGTAAATAGGCCATTTTAACTAAATTATTTTAACTAAATTATATTATGTTTATTTATGAGTTTCCAGTTCTTTCGCTGTTTTATTTCACAAAGTTTTGACTTGAATAAAGGTACATATATGCAGTGCAAGAAGTTATGTAGTTAACATAATGGAACAAAGAGAAAATAAGGTTAGGTAAATAATAAGGTCGAATTTACTTACAAATATATGCTATATGTTTTAGGTAATTGCTCCTGGAATTTGCCCTAAACTTCCTGGAGATCAATGAATACAATTAGCTTTGGGTTTTAGTGTCTAATATAATAATGAACCTGCTGATCAGGAGAATCGTGGCTATTCCTAATACTGCGGTTTAATAGGAATCTCCCTGGATAGTTCTACAGAGGACAGTGTATAATGTAGTACGATGACTTGCAAAGCTTTTTTTGACCAGATGCACAGTAAGAAATACATTTTTTATTGTGCTGTTAGTACTCGGGTGAACACACACACATATCCCAAACTAACAAAATAATATTTTCTCTTATCACATATAATGCAGTCTAAAATTTTCTGTTCTGTTTTTTAAAAACTTTGCTTGTGATCCACTAATTTGATTTTGAAAAATGGAGGTGTACTTCTCCACAGGAGAAACTATTACAAACCTCTAAATTCTTCTAGTGTTCTTTCATTCAAGCCCCACGTTGCAATTCAGCCAACAAAGGACCATTGAAACCTAAGTAACTCGTGTCATTTTTATTGCCTAAGTATTCTTTTTCTTATTTTCATTTTTCAGTGATGACCTTTTTTCTCTGCCTTATTGCCCTGGCAAAACATTAGTAGTTGGTGCATCTTATGTGGCTCTGGAATGTGCAGGATTTCTGGCTGGTGTTGGCTTAGATGTCACAGTTATGGTGCGTTCAATCCTTCTTCGTGGCTTTGATCAAGAAATGGCAGAGAAAGTGGGTTCATACATGGAGCAACATGGTGTTAAGTTCTTAAGGAAATTTGTACCTGTGATGGTGAGTCTGAATGTCATTTGGAATTCCTTTTATTTTCTTTTTATTCTCTCTTTCATTAGCTTTTTATTTTACTCCTCCTCCATTTTATAAAATAAATTGGTCTGTAGTCAATAGCAAACCTTGAAGACAGTGTTTCCACCCTGGGTCTACAAACCTGGCCTCCTTTGGTCCTGGTCCCCTCCTCCTCTGATATGGTGGTGTCCTTCCTCCTCTCAGCTCGGATTTCCTCTTCTCTCATTGTTCCCCTCACCTTCTCTCACCTTTTCAGGGCCATCCCATCTTAAGCTGATTGTATTCTTTTTTTCTCTGTCATGATGCCCTGCAGTTTCTCTCATCTTTAAATAAATAAGCCTTCCTTTCCCTCTCTGTCTTTCTGGCTGGGTCCCCATATACCCACTCTCACCTGTATGCCCTAGGACTGTTTATTTTCTGTCTCCTTTAGATAGAATCATTACATTGTTTATCCTTACTAGGTTCAAAAGTTGGAGAAAGGTTCACCTGGAAAGCTGAAAGTAGTGGCTAAATCCACTCAAGAGCCAGAAACTATTGAAGGAGTATATAACACAGTAAGTTTTTATTTTATAAGCAGGAAGTGGTTGAACACACTCATAAATTAGCTCAGAAGAAGCTTATGGGAACATTGTAACAGCTTAACATATTTTGGATTCTTTGTTAGAGTATAATAAATATGGAAAGTGGTTTGTTGACATTTGATAATGGTATGTGAAGAATACCATGCTAAAATAATGTGTATGTGTAACTCTACCTGCTGTTAGTACTTTGTTCAGGGACATTAGATATCTTAAACATTTCTGCATTTGAATATTTTTGCAATAAACAATGAATCTATCCTATATAATGAAAGCCTAATATGCAAATCAACCGAACAGTGAACAACCAGTTGCTATGATTCGCACTGATTACCAGAGGGCAGACGCTCAATGCAGGAGCTGCCCACTGTGGGTCAGTGTGCTCCCACAGGGGGAGCGCTGCTCAGCCAGAAGCCAGGCTCAAGGCTGGTGAGTGCAGTGGCATAGGCAGGAGCCTCTCCCACCTCTGCTGCAGGCAGGTGGTAAGGAACAAGGGGTCCTGGCTACAAGAGGGCACAGGCCAGGCTGAGGGATCTTCCCCCACCCGCCCCCCCAACCTCACCGTCCCCGAGTGCATGAAATCATGCACCAGGACTCTAGTTTTATAATAAAGACAATACTAAATGTAATTTAAAAAAACAAATAATATGAAATATCCAAAAGGTCTAACTATTTTATGGATTATTTTGGATAGCAACAATTCTGATTTAAATTGCTGATATTTGGATGACAACATTTCTTTTGTAAAATTTATAGTTTTAATACAAACTGTACATGTATGTTTTATATACTCTTATACACTTTTTTAAGTTAAAAATGAAATATAGTCAGCAAAGTAAAAAAATATATTAGAAAATAAAAGCTCTTATTTGATTATTTATTCTTAGATTTTGAGTTTTCTTTATACCTATTCATATTATTTGTGAATAACCACAGTTTATTTCTTTTTTCCACTGTTTTCCTCATTACTTCTTTATCTTGCATAAGTACACTGCTAGCTCGGACCTCCAATACAGTGCTAACCAGAAATGGCCATAGCAGCCATGCTTGTCTTGTTCTCAATATCGAAGGAATGTATTCCATGTTTCCTTATTTAAGAATAATGTTTTTGGTGAGACATTTTTTTCTGGCCTTACCCAGTTTGGCTCAGTGGATAGAGCATCAGCCTGAGATTCAATTCCGGTGAAGGGCACATGCCTGCCTGGGTTTCAGGCTCAATCCCCAGTAGGGCATCAGTAGAGAGAGTGCAGGAGGCAGCTGATCATGAATCTCTCTCATCATTGATGTTTCTCTCTCTCTCTAAAATACATACATACATATATATAAATATATATTTTTATTGATTTTTTTCTATTTCCTGATGCTAAGGGTTTTTGTTTTTTTTGTTGTTGTTGTTGTTTTTTAAATTATGAGTATATGAATTCAGTTGTAATAGTTCCTTTTGTAGCTGTTAATATCAAGTTTTTTTTTAATTTGTTAATATGTTGAATTATATTGATTTTCTAACCTTAAAGGTGCTATTTATATGTTGTTTGATTTGTTTATTTAGAATTTTTACATTATATTCATGAATCATTGGCTTATAATTTCTTTACACATATTGAAATGTTCAGATTTTTTAACTCATGATATTCTAACTCATGAAAGAAGTTTGGAGTATGTTTCCTCTTTTCTGTTCTCTGGAAGAATTTATGTGGTATTAGAACATTCTTTGTTTGCTTGAATTCATTGATGCAACCATCTGAATCTAGAATTTTCTGTGTATATCCTATCTTAATAAAGAAGGAATATGCAAATTGACCATCACTCCATCACAAATATGGCTGCACCCACAGCTTAGGCCAAGTACCCATAAGGAGTCTTAAGGAGCAATCAGCAGGGACCTGAGGCTATTCCCTCTCCCACTTCCATGGGGCTTGACAGGGGATTCAGGCTGCTTCCCCCCCTCCCCCCAGCACCAGGCCAGGGAACCTGAGGCTGTGCCACCCTGCCACCCTGACAGGGGACCTCAGGCTGTGCCCCCCACCCAGCAGGGCTTGACAAGGGACCTTAAGGTGTACCCGCAGTGCTGGGTCAGAGGAACTTAGGCTACGCTGCCCACCCAGTGGGGCTTGATGGGGGACCTCAGGCCATGCCCCCTACCCAGCGGGGCTTGACAGGGACCTCAAGGTACGCCCCCCACCCACTGACCTTGTAGATTCTTAGGATTTATGTCTCTGTATAAAATCAGTTTGGTTTCTTCTTTCCAATCTACATACTTTTTATTTCTTTTTCTTGCTTTGTTGCACTAGTTAAGAACTCCAGTACAGGGCTGAATAGACATTGTGAGTGCATATCCTCATCTTATACCAATCTTAGGGGTGATCCTAACCATTCGGTTTTTTATGATTGCTAGGATGGAAAGCTGTTTTTTTGTTTACAGATGCCTTTTACCGGGTTGGGGAAGTTTTCTTTTATTCTTAGTTTGCTGAGGATTTAATTAGAATCCTCAAGGGCGTAAAGTTCTGTCAAATGCTTTTCCCACATCTATTGGGATGATTAATTTGTTTTCTCCTTTATTCTGTTAAAATGATGAATTACATTGATTTTTGCATGTTAAATCAAATTTGTATTTTTGGAACAAACCTCACTTGGTCATGATCAATTATCCTTTTTAAATATTGTTATATTTGATTTGCTAGGATTTGTTAACGATTTTATATCTTAAGTTCATGGAAATATTGGCTTATAACTTTATTTAAATATCCTTGTTTGATTTTGGTGTCAGATGTTTATGCTGGCTTCATAAAAAGGAGCTGGGAAGACTCCTTTCTCTTTTTTCTGGAGGAGTTTGTGTACCACTAGTGTTATTGTTTACTTGTGTGTTTAATCGACTTTACAAGTGAAGTCATTTGGATCTGGAGTTAATTAATAGGAAGTTTATAAATTGTGCATTCAGTTTTCTTAATGAAAATAGGGTATATTAGTCAGCTAGGGCTACCATAACAAAATACTACAGATAGGGTGGCTTAGGCAAAGGAAATTTAATTTCTCACAGTTCTGGAGGCCAGAAGCATGAGACGAAGGTGTCAGTAGAATTAGTTTCTCCTCCTTGGCTAGCAGGATGAGGTTGGTTGCCTTCTCTCTGTCCTTTCGTGATTGTTCCCCACTCTGTACGTGTGGGTTCTAATAAGGACTCTAGTCATATTGGGTTAGGCCCGGCTCTTATGGCCTTATTTTATGTTAATTACCTCTTTAAAGGTCCTGTCTCCTAATCAGTCATGTTTTGAGGTATTGGGAATTAGATCTTCAACACATGAATTTGGGTGGGGGCATAATTCAGCATGTAACGAAACATTATTCAGATTTGTGTGTAAGTTTGATAAATTGTGTCAAGGAGTCTGTTTAGGGAATGTAATGTACAGCATGGTGACTGTAGTTAATAATACTGTATTGTATATTTGAAAGTTGCTAAGAGAGTAGATCTTAAAAGTTCTCATCATAAGAAAAAATTTTGTATAACTATGTGGTGATGGATGTTAACTAGACTTACTGTGGTGATCATTTCACAATATATACAAATATCGAATTATGTTATACACCTAAAGCTATTATGTTATATATCAATTATAAAAATGCATTTTGACCTCAAAAAAGGAATCTACTTTATCTGTCAAATTTATTGGCATAGGGTATTCATAATAATTTTAGTATTTAATGTCTGAAGGATCGATAGTGATGTTCCCGCTTTCATCCCTGATATTGATAATTTGTCTCTCTCTAAATATAGGTTTTATTAGCAATTGGCCGTGAGTCCTCAACAAGGAAAATAGGCTTGGAGAAGATTGGTGTCAAAATCAGTGAAAAGTATGTACCTGTGGGATCATTGCACTATTGATGCTCAAAGCAAAATGTTCCTACAGATCACCTCTTAAAATTCTCATTTAATTACTAAGATGCAAAATTTTAAAATGCCTTAATGTTATTTTATAGTAAATACTGTCCCAGCTCTGTTATCAGTTTTTTTCCCATTAATCAATCAGTAACTTTATTGTATGCCTTAAAGAGCTCATGCATGATTTTTAAAAATAAAATCAAAACAATTATTTTTTCACCTACTATCTGATTTTATATCTGTGGTCAGGCAAGGAGAAAAATTTCAAAGCTCTACATGGAATTCTGGGGGAAATCTGAGAATATCCTTGACATCAAAAAAAAAAAAAAAAAGAGCCTGGTTTCATCATCCAGGAACTACAGATACCTTTGTTATTATAAGTCATTGGTCTTACAGACAGGGGATGACTGAGGTGCATGAGTTCTTAGAGCGAGGTCTTTTCTTTATGTACTTAGTTCTCTTGGAATAGTGCTAGTCATCTAGCAGTATAGAGTGAGTCATATATATATTTACTTTCAAAATCTAATAGGAGTGGCAAGATACCAGTAAATGACATAGAACAGACCAACGTACCCTATGTTTACGCTGTCGGAGATGTCCTGGATGGTAAACTTGAGCTCACTCCCGTCGCTATACAGGCAGGCAAACTGTTGGCTCGAAGACTTTTTGGGGGTCGTTCAGAAAAGGTATGTTTATTACTGTTATTTTTGAGATAATATCTAAATAAAAATTGAGTTAAAAAATCAGTACAAATAAAACGTGTGCTTGTTCTGCAAGTAAAAAGTTCTTCACAAATCATTTGCAGTTGACTTATTATTTACTAGTGGTTTTCAAAAATATTTTTTGAGTATCTGTATGTGCTAGATGATATGCAAAGGATTGGTATGGTTCCAGTACCAAGGGGCTTACTAGGTAAGAGGCGTCCTGAGTAAGAAGAGAGAGGAGCAGTTAATTCTGACTGAAGAGATCTAAAGGGGCCTCCCGGTGGATGCTCGCACTGTCACAGAGTAGGAGGGACACTCAGAGTGGATGCTGGCCCTGGCTTCATTGCCTGCTTAGTGTGTGAACCTGGTCCAGTTGTTTCACTTCTCTTCCCCTCGGTTTCACCATCTGCAAAGCTGATAGTTTGAATTAGGTGATTACTAGAGTCTCCTCCACCTTTCATGGTCTTTGATCAAAGATTTGGGATGGGCTTTAAGGATGAGCAATTTATTTATTTATTTAAAATACTTTTTTTTTTTTAATTGATTTCAGAGAGGAAGGGAGAGGGGAGAGAGAGATAGACACATCAGTGATGAGAGAGAATCATCGATTGACTGCCTCCTGCACACGCCCTACTGGGGATTGAGCCCGCAACCTGGGCATCTGGGAATTGAACCCGGGACCCTTGGGCACAGGCCGATGCTCTATCCACTGAACTAGGCAAAGGAAAATGCTCTGTCAGGCCGATGCTCTACCCACAGCTAGGGCTAGGGTGAGCAATTTAAAATTGAGAAAGCAAAGGGCTCTTTTAGTAAGGAGATAATTCAAAGAGAAGCCCAGAGCTCTGCAGAACTTGGTTTGTTCTAGGACTGTAAGCAGCTTCTCAGGAGTTCCCAGCTGGGGAGGTCATGCTCTGCTCCATCAGGAGCACTGTGGGTGTGCACAGCTCTTGGTGGGAAGGTGGTATTACTGGGTGTCAGGAATTCTAACCTTCTGACACTCATGTAGGCAGAGCTATTGGTGAGAGAGGAGTACAACTGGAAATGAGACTGGAAAATTGATTTGGTCTATGTCATCAGAACTCTGTGATGCCACAGTAAAGAATCAGTAGGGCTTTCTGTAAGCAGTGGCAGCTGTTGAAGATCTTACTGTTATCTTTCCCCAACTTTTCACTTAGTAAGATGTCAAACCACAGAAAGAATAGTAATAGTCACCCATATTACCCTTTCACTTAGATTTTCCAGTTATTAATGTTTTGCCATTTTTCTTCTCTCTCTTTTTTTGAAGGTGTGTGTGTGTGTGTGTGTGTGTGTGTGTGTGTGTATGTGTGTGTGAAAATTTTTTCCCCTGCTGATCTATTTGAAATAAGTGGCAGATATCAGTGATGTTTTGCTTCTAAATACTTCAGGATGTACAACAAGGATATTAACTTCCATAACCACAATTTCATTTCTGTAGCTGAGAATTCAACAATGCAGTCATATTTACATTTCCTCAGTTGTCCATTGGTATGTGTGCATGTGTTTTGATTCACACAGTACAGGGCTCTTCTGAGTCCTAAGTCTCTTTTAATGTACTCCAGCCCTCTGCCTTGATTTACCTGTTTGTTTGCTTGCTTTACTTTTCATGACTTTGACTTTTGATGAATCCAGGCTACTTTTCTTGTAGAATGCTTCATATTCTAAATTTCTCTGATTGGTTTTGCATGATTAGGCTAAGGTGAAAAGTTTGGGGCACATATTGTTCATAAGGGATGCTGTGTGCTGCTTATTTTATCACCTCAGGTGCCTAGTAAGGTCATAAAGGAAGACCTTATATATATGTGGGGATGTGGCACTGCTGGCATTAATGGGTGGGGCCAGAAATGTTAAAGGTACAAAGAAGTGCTACTGCATTTCAAGGTGTATGGAAGCAGAGTAATTGTTTATTGCTTTAAAAAGTTAGTCGTGGTGGCTGTAGGATAAAGAGATTAGAAGACAGACATGTGGTGTGTGTGTGTGTGTGTGTGTGTGTGTGTGTGTGTGTGTGTGTGTGTTGAAAAAAGAAGGTACAGGACTAAAAGGAAGGCTACAGATAGGGTAAGAGGAAGTCCAGGTCAAGTGGAGGAGGTAGTATAAGATGTGGAGAAAGTGTTTCAGATGAAAGGGAGAAAAGTTGAGGAATTATCTGTTGCTTTTTCTCAATTGATATGAAACAGGAGACAGAGGCATCTGTTGAGGATGAGACTTGCACTGTAAGCCATGGGATATGGGATCAGCTGCTGGTCAATAAATGGATTGATGAGCATTTGATGACCTAAGAGAAGTCAGAAAACCAGGCAGTCCACATGGTTATGTGATTTTCTCTAGCCATGTTGGAAAAAAGAACACAAATGCTTCATGATTTAGAGGTTAGCAAACATAAAATGGGATGAGAACATATTTTAAGTTGAAGACTCTAGGCTGATGTATATTGTTCCCAAATCACCTCATTGAAGCAAGTGTACCTGGTGGTGTTTTGGTGTGTTTTTCTTTGGGGGTAAAATAGAAGTCACTCATACTAGGTAAATTGGGGGAATTTCCTATAAGTTGATGATAAGTCAAATCACACAGTGACTTTGAACAAGGATTGTGCTAGTGATGGGCCTCACTGCAGTTGGAGCAGGGCTGAGTATGGTTGTCACAGCTGCTCTGGGGCCCTAGTAATATGAAGGGACATTTCACAGGGTGCCCTTCAGTAGCCTCACTTGGCCTCAACTCACACACACACACTCTCTCTCTCTCTCTCTCTCTCTCTCTCTCTCTCTCTCTCTCTCTCTCTGTCTGTCTCTCTCTCTCTCTCTGTCTCTTTTCCTGTCAAACTCCCATCTGGAGGATCCTCTCTTTGCTCCTAGTCATTTTCCTGCAAAATAAACCATTTGGTGCAGCTCGCCTTTTTTTGCATAGGTTTCTGGATTATCTTTCTTTGGGGTTAGATCTCACTCCTGACCTAATAAACTGTAACTTGTTGGCTGGGGTTTAGGCGACATGTAGTGCTCTGGGCAATGTCACCCCTTGAGGACTATGGATGGGCACGTGCAGACACGTTCATCCAGGTTGTACCACCTTTTTTTTCTCTGTTCCTGCACACTGTTTTCTTGCCACTCACACAGTTTTAATGATGCCTCTGCCTGTGTGTTCTAAATCTTCACACAGCCACAAACACACTGTCTTCTCCAGTGCGCTTGTGCCTGCTTTCCCACGGACAGATGCCCAAAGCTGCTGGAAGCCTGCATGTAGGGTTCACGGTCTGCACTCTTCTTGTGCCGTCCACTTGTGCTGTGTCTTGGTCAGAGAAGGGCTGGGAGGGGTGCCATTGTGACCATGGGACTCATGGAACCCTGGCCCCTAAGTACACACGTGCCATCTCCACTTGATGGTCCAGTGTTCACTCAGTCCCACACTATTGAGAGCTTTTTTGCACATCATTCAGTAACACCATTAAATGAAATGGCCAAGGGCGGTCTGAGTGTCAGGTGAAATAGTGTAATTCTCTGTCACCTGGTAGAGATGCTCCAGAATGGGGGGAGGGATGGAATGAAAAAAATTGTAGAAAATATCTGTAGGGGCAACAAAGTGCACTATCTTCTCTACTGTGGTTTCAGGCCAGAAGTCTGAGGTTGGGGCATTGGGAGAGCCAGTTCTATTCATTGGTCACTGGCCAGCTTGTGGCCTCTGCCCTGTAGTCAGAGGTCACCCCATCTCCTTTAGTGTAACTTAGAATTCCCTGATGTGGTGATGTGTCCGAACCAGTTACATTGAACTGGACTTATTTAGTTTCCCTTTATAAATGTATGTGATAGAGATTTTTATTATTTAAAAAAAAGTGTCACAAAATAAGAGCATGTAATTTTTGTTTATCTTTCAGTGCAATTATATTAATGTTCCAACTACAGTGTTTACTCCTCTCGAATATGGCTGCTGTGGATTATCTGAAGAGAAAGCTATTGAAATATATAAAAAAGAGAATCTAGAAGTAAGATTATGTTTTATTTATTTTTTTAAAGAATCTCTTACTTACCTGTCTACTCAGTAACTTTATTTTGTCATTTTGCAAGTTATTTTAATGGTTATATTATAAGAAACCAGCCTATTTTAGAAAAATTAAATAATTTAAACCTTGTCTTTCTTGCAAACTAATAATACAGTTGGGGAAAGAGAGATGTATACTGTGTGCATTAGGACTTTTGAATTATAGGTAACAAATATCTAATTGAGTAAGCTTATACAAGGAAGCACAAGTTGTTATGAGATCTTTTGGGGAATGTATCAAGGCCTTAGAAAGGGCTGAGGACCAGGACTTGTAAGACTGTCTCATCTCTTTCTTTTACTTGCTTGGGGTTTATGAGTATGTTTGTGTGTGTGCATGCAGTTCATTCCTCTGTTCCTGTGGACAGACTTTATTTGCTCCTAGAATGCACATAGCAGCCAAACTCTGGCCATTCTTCCCCCCCACCCCAAGTTTGTCTGATAATTCTGGACTTAAGAGGAACTGATCAGCTCACTGTTTCTCAGTCTTAATTCAAAATTGGTCCGAATTGGGTCTGTCATCCAAATACTTCCATTTGGTATGATGGTAGCCAGACTCATGGAGTGTCAACATGGCCCTTGGAATCTACATTATCCATGGACTCTAGGTGGGAAAGATGGGCAGTTCCCATGGTTTTTATGAGCTGTGGGCTATTTAGACTCTTACAAAGAAGTTCTCCATACATTTATTTCCACCTCTCCTTCACCACTGCCCCATCTACACACAACAACCTTATAAATATTTTTCTACATTTTGGTGGGTGGCTTGAGTATCTTTTTTCTGCACACTCTCCCAACGTAGGAAGTATAGAGAGGAAAAAGAAAAGAATTGGAGGATTATTACTACTTGAGGTTTTAAGCAAAAGAGTGTTGAAATTTCAGTTCTCTCCCTTAAAGACATTTTAATTTATTACTAGAAATTTCCTCAAACCAGCAGTTGGCAAACCACGGCTCCTGAGCCACATGCGGCTCTTTCGCCCCTCGAGTGTGGCTCTTTTCACAAAATACCATGGCCTGGGCGAGTATTTTGAAGAAGTGGCGTTAGAAGAAGTTTAAGTTTAAAAAATTTGGCTCTCAAAAGAAATTTCAGTCATTGTACTGTTGATATTTGGCTCTATTGACTAATGAGTTTGATGAGCACTGCCTTAAACGATAGCACTGATATTTCCTAGTTAAACAACCTAATGACTTATTGAAACTCTTAACTTAAACTTCTGGTGTTGGGTAATGTATTATGAAAACTTTATAATGTATCTTTGGGAATAGGGAGGCCCAAGGAGAGGGAGAGAGATGGCAGAACACCAGTTTAGTGGAGCAGTGAGAACATATACATTTATCAATTTACTTTGCCATCTTATATGGGCATGGTTCATGGCGCTCCAAAACAATTATAATAGTAATTTCAGAGATCACTATTTACACATAACCTATAACAAACATAGTAATAATGAAAAAGCTTACACAAAGTGAAATATTGTGAGAAATACCAAAATGTAACATAGAGACAAGAAGCAAATGCTATTGGAAAAATGGTACTGGTAGACTTGTACTACCCAGGGTTGCCACAAACCTTCAAGTAAAATCATGCAATATCTGCGAAGCACAATGAAGTGAAGCACAATAACACCAGGTATGCCTGTACAGTTGAGCAAAATCATCTCGCTGCTGTTTCCCAGAATCACAAGAGAGTATCTTACCTCTATTGCTAGCCCAGGAAAAGATCAAAATTCAAATTTTGAAGTACTCTTTCTACTGAAAGTATTTCACTTATGCACCATTGTCAAGTCAAGAAATCATAAGTTGAACCATTGTAAGTCAGGGACCATCTGTAGTTTAGAATCCTTTTTTAAAATTTTTATTATTTTATTTTTAATCCTGATACCAAACATTAACCCATTGCTTTCTATATGGGTAGGTTAGGAGGAACAATTCTGGAAATGTATAGCTTCCCCAAGCAGGATGGAGGTCACATTGTGCTTTGCTCTGGGTCTTAGATGATTGAGCCAGATTGAGGAGCCTGAGCAGAGTATTCAGGGTGCTGGAGTGAGCACTTTCAAGTAGCATAGGTAATGTTCGTAATATCTTTTAATAGGGTTGAATTGTTTCTACTCTTCCTAGATTTGGTTTGACAATGAACCTTGTAAGAAGGTTGTTAACTTGTCAGAGATAGGATCTAAGTCTTTATTTATTTATCTTTTCAATCCACACACAGCCTACTGTATTGTCTTGGATGGCAATATTCTATAAATGATTGAGAATTGAATTTAGTTAATAGACTTTTTGGACTAACAGTAGAGCAAAACAAAGATCAACACACTTGTGCAGCTGGCATTTTAGGAGCTCTGGCCCAGGTACTGTAATCAGCTACATAAAATTGGGATCATGGAACTCTAAATGTTTGAAAGCTGTTATAGAGATTATCATTTATAATAATAAAAGGATAACATACTAATTAGACTGGACGAACTTCTGGATGAAGCCGGGGCCAGAGGAAAGCCCAAGTCCTAGGTGCCAGAATGAAGCCAGTGCCCGCAGCCAGGGGAAGGAAGGCCTACTCTTGCACAAATTTCGTGCACCTGGCCTCTAGTGTTTATATAATTGAAAAGCATATCATGGAGTGATTTTTATATATGCTAATCTTGGCCTCTTTCTCTCTCTTCTTGTCTTCCAGGTATATCATACTTTGTTCTGGCCTCTTGAATGGACAATAGCTGGCAGAGAAAACAATACTTGTTATGCAAAGATAATTTGCAATAAAGTCGATAATGTACGTGATGTAATTGGAAGCTGAAATGCTGTAATTTTAAAATGTAGCTTTTATTCTAGTATATGGGTTTTTACAATCTCTTTAAAGGTAGTTTTCAGGGAAAGGCATAAATCTTTCAAATTATTACCTATTAATAGTTAATATATTTGCGCTGGTTGAACAAGTGACAGATTGTGATTGAGTCTTACCAATACCTTCTCAAAATAATCATTGAAAGTTGGCTCTTCCCAGATCTAACTGGACAGTTTAGAACTCGATCATCTGTGAAAATTTTGATCATCAACTAACAAAATGTAAGGGATATGTTTGTGTGCATTTTGTAAAGTGAATGTGTGTCACAAAGCCTTTACAAGGAGATGCTTACACAAAGTGAAAACTCTAGTTAATTAACTCCTAATGAAGCAATTCATTAAAGAAGAGTCAGTGGAGTGGGGAGCCTGTTGTTGCAGCCTTCTCTGCCTTCCCTGTTATTGAGGTGAATGTGAAACTGACAGCAAATGCCTGATTATCGGAGTTTAAAGCAGTTTATTTAGGACTGGTTGTATCAAGGACACTGAGGGTAGGACTGGTTGTATCAAGGACACCGAGGGTAGGACTGGTTGTATCAAGGACACTGAGAGTAGAAAGCAGTGTTAGCACTTGGTTCCTCCCTTTTTAAGAGTTTATAATTTATCTGGAGAGATAAAACACACAATTAAATACATATGAACAGCAATAGCTGACATAAAGTTTACAGAGCAATCTGAGGTTGCTGTCCTGAAGTTGTAGGTGCATTTATAAAGGGAGCAGGCAGAGGCTATGTACCGAGGCCCCTAAAGTGAGCAGGAATGGGGTTTGATTGAGCTGCTGCTGAAACCAAGATTCTCAGCCTTCATATTATTTCTGACCTCTTGACAGAGTTGTTGACTGTGGCTGTCGGGCCTGAGGCAGAATTTCCAGGTCTGTTTACCCCTCTTTTTGAACTCCGACTCTGTCCTTTGTCACACCTTCTGTTCTCCTTCAGCTGTGACCATGATCCCTGTTTGCCCCTCACATGTGCACACTGTCATCAAGAGAGCTTGTTAATTTCTTTTACTACTGCCCATACTTCTGTTTCTAGAGAAGTATGGACAGTAGTAAAATTCCTACTATCGATATGAATTTTACTATAGCTGTGTGGTAAAAATTGGAAATTAGGTGTTCGTTCTCACAGGACTTGTCTTCATTTTCACTTTTAGATGGGGGTTTTCATCGGATGTTTTCACTCTGTCTGGCCTACATGTCTTTTTCCAGTTTTCTGTGTGTACAATGCACCACCTCAGAGATTCCAATTCAGTGTTCTGTGATGCCCTGCGAGCTCCATTTTCACCCAAACCCCTGTGGCCTGTGACTTTCCTTCCAGAAACACTGTTCCCGGAGCTTTTCATTTCAGCCCCACAAGTAGATGTGTATGAGTTGGCTGCTTTGAACCATTGTTCTTTCTCTAGAATATGAGGAGGCAAGACTTTGTGCCAGCCTCAAGATCTCTGATGCTCTTTCTTTCTGTTGTACACTTTTACTGTTGAAGATTGAAACAAAGACTATAGTCTGATGAAAAACAGACAAAAGGACATCCTAAATGCAGTATACCTTGGAAATAAACTGAATCTTTTTAAAAATATATATTTATAATGAATTTTTGAGAGAGAGAGAGAGAGAGAGAGAGAGAGAGAGAGAGAGAGAGAGAGAGAGAGAAAGAAAGAAAGGGAGTCCCTCATTGGCTGCCTCCTGCATGGCCGCTTCCAGGGATCAAGCCTGCAACCCAGGTGTGTGCCCTGACTGGGAATCGAACTGGCAGCTTTCTGGTATATGGGATAACATCCAAACAACTGAGCCACACGCTTGCCAGGGCTATACTGAATCTGCTTTCTGTCTCAATGGTCTGCTCATCACATGTGCCTTGCACCTCATAAGATGCAGTCCAGGGGAAAAGCTCTCAGCCCCACTGCTCCTTGATCTTCCCTTAATTATTTAAGGAGCCGAAACCGGTTTGGCTCAGTGGATAGAGCATCGGCCTGCAGACTGAAAGGTCCTGGGTTCGATTCCGGTCAAGGGCATGTACCTTGGTTGTGGGCACATCTCCAGAAGGGGGTGTGCAAGAGGCAGCTGGTTGATGTTTCTAATCAATGTTTCTAACTCTATCCCTCTCTCTTCCTCTCTGTGAAAAATCAATAAAATATATATTTTAAAAATTATTTAAGGAGCCAGGCTACTTGCCTCCTGGACTGGGAATCTCTGCAATGCCAGGGAAACCTACTGCCTTAGGATGATTCCAGTGTTGGACTTTAATTCAGATTTGCATGTTGTTATTTAGCACTATCTCAGCATAATTCAGAAATTTCTACCATACATATTAATGAGCTCTTTCATGCAGTGGGTAAATTGCTCGTTTCTAGTAAATTGAGTGGAGATTACTCTGGATGTGCATTTTACTGGCTCATTTAACAGATTGTTACAGTGGCTCAGTTTCATGGTAATGTTCTATGCTGAGTTCAACGTTGGTTCTTTTTCTTTATAGATGCTGTCAGTTTGAACTGTGAACTTGCAGTGATTAGGTTCCTATTCAGATCATTAACCTACTGGGCTTCCCTTTGTTTTGTTTTTTCTATTAAAGAATCGGGTGATAGGATTGCATATTCTTGGACCAAATGCCGGTGAGGTTACCCAAGGATTTGCAGCTGCAATGAAATGTGGGATCACGAAACAGCTACTTGATGACACTATTGGAATTCACCCCACATGTGGTGAGGTACAGAAACGGGAGGTTTTTTAAGTTGACTTCAGTTATTGCAGTTTGAAAAACTGGGAAGCACATTGTCAGAAAGTTTTTGTATTAGTAACTACTTTGCATATTTTAAGGAGAATAGATATATTCAGAATGTGTTTTCATAAAGCAGTACTGAAATATTGTTGGCTAAACACAAATTTGTTTTTCTTCCTTTCAAACAGGTATTCACCACTTTGGAGATAACGAAGGCATCGGGCCTGGACATCACCCAGAAAGGCTGCTGAGGCTAGGCCTGCTGCTATCTAGTCTCCCCGTCTGTTCTCATTCCTTTCGAACATAGGAACATGCGCTCAGACCCAGCCAATCTGTGACTGGGCACCTGCTCTGTTACAGGGCCAAGTGCAGGTTTCTTCACTGCACGTAGATGAGAACGTAGACAAGGAGACGGGCAGCAGCAGGCGTCTGCTCAGCAGTCTCAGCTGACGGGAGAGGCAGTTGCACTGCTTCCTTGACGTCTTAGCTCGGAACTCATGTGAAGTGAGCTAAGACCAATACTCTTCCAAGTCAGAACTGAGCTTTCCTCTCAAGGACCTTTTAATCACATAACTAATCTAAGGCAACCTTTCTGGTTGAAAGTTTTTATCTTTTTGCTTCGTTTCTAAGAAAATATTTTTTCAGTTATGAAACTATAAAATGGTGATCTTCCATCGTGTGGGGTGTCACACGGGGTCACTGGTGAGCGGTGTCTGCGGAAGTGCCTTCAGATAGCTGTCTGCTTCACCCTCTCCTGGTTCCCTGATGGGAACCCCCTGGGAACCATTCTCCCCTTATTGTCTCTAGACCGAGCAGTGTCTCATGTCAGAGATGCTTATAGTTCTTTTTCATGTTGATCTTAAGAGTAATATTAAAAAGTTTTACTGTATTATTTGAACTGTATTTAAAGCTTTACAATGATTCCATCTACAATCTGTTGAATTATAGTCAAGTTCAGTAAGTGACCAGGTGATATGAGAAGATGCCATTTGAATGTATATACCTGTCAGCATCTACAAGGCCCTTGCAGTGGGAGGCCTATCCAAGGTCCTTGGAAAATCTTGTTTTCTTGAGCAACATAGCACACAGCAGCCCAAGTCAAGGCCCTTTTAGATAGCACTTGCCTTGGCATTGGATAGTTCTATGGTCAGAATTTCTAAGAAAAAATTAAAACCAATAAACAATTAGGGAACTCATTCTGTAGACAGGACATTTTGCTACTCTCCCGGAGGCAGAGAGAGGAGGGAGGATAAGGACCCAAGGTAACTGACGTAGGATCCCATGACTGAGTTGCTTTTTCATTGGGTAGAGTAAAATGTAACTGTCAAAAAAGTGAGGCAGGGTATAGTAATTGCCAGAGCTGAGGTAGAAACAGCATAGGGGAAACAGAAAGATGTTATGAATTTTCACTGGATGTGAGGCAGGCAGGGGTGGGATCATTGAACAGAGTTTACTGGAAGCAGCTATATTAGAACTGAATCATGAGGGATGAATAGGATTTCAAATATATGGAGAAGGCTCTGAATGATCCTTTCAATAACTTCAACTCAAGTATTAGATAAAGTAACATTTTAAACGTTGTTCCTGTATTGCAGAGCCACATGCATATACACAGCCAAGGGTTTCCAGAACTCCAACTGAAATGAAACAAGGAGGCATAGAAGTCTTGAGTTCTGCTTTGCACTGGGTGTAGGATAGTAAACTGTACCCCCAGGGGAAGGGTGATTGAAATGCACTTTGCCTCACAGAAGGAAGCAGCAAAGAAATTTGCCTGTCTTCTCACTGGCATGGGTAGGAGAAAATATTCCATTCAAAGAGCCTGTAACCACTATGCAAGTTATCTTCCTTTAGTAAGGAGGAGAGAAGGCTTGGATATAAACCTCTCTGAAACTGACTCCCATTTCCTTCTCCCATGCTACTTGCCCCACCGCTTACTTTATCTCTTCTCATCCTTTATCTTTCCTCCTCTCCTGGAGTAAAGATGGGCTCTATGTAATGGTGAGAGATTCATTTTTCCTGGAAGATACACTTTGTATGCACCTAATCACATAATAGATGCTTACCGATCTATCTACAAGGAAATGAACATCCTCCATTATAATAGAGATTTTAACATACCTCACTGATTTATTAGGTCAAACAAAAAAAATCAGCAAAGATAGTTTTGAATAGCTCAATTTACAAACTCAGTTTAATGAACTTATGAAGAAGACTGTTTAACATGAACACTTACTCATTTCAAGGGCACATGGAATATTTATGGAATTTGCCATGTACTAGCTCAACAAATTTCAAAAGACTGATCTCATATAGAGATTTTAGCCGCGAGACACACTGAGACCCCAGAGACCTTAAATCCGTATAGTATGGATTTAAGTGGAATAGGGAGGTATTGTGAGGTGAGTGAGAGGTTAATGGGAGATCAAGCTAGAAAGAGCCAGGGTAGAGCCAGGAACAAGTCACAAGAAGCAGGGAATTATGGAAATATCCTAAACTTTGAAGAACAGTAGACTAGCAAATGCTTAGCCCCGCAACTTACTAGATGCATGAAAAAATAAATTGTTTAACTTTTCCTATTCTTGATTTATTAAGTGTTGAGAGTTTTGGATATTTCACAGTTATTACAATTGAGTACATTTATAAAGTTTTCAATATATAGCATATTGGTGTAGAGTGTCTTAGCTTCCACAATGATAAACAGGGACCTTATTTAAGGAAAGTTCTTATAAACACACAAAAGTGTATCCAATAGGTAAGAGACCTATTGACAAACCTGGGCTTTGACAGCCTCTGAGGGGCTCCAAATTGGATTCTCCAATTATGGATAGTCACTTCCTTGTATAATCCCCCTATAATGTGCAAAGGTTGGTTTGTGTGACAAGTAACATCTGGCAGAAGTGGTTTGTCACTTCTAAGATTAGGTCATCAAAGGACTGCAGCTGAAGTTCTCACTCTCTTGCCCTCTCTTGGATCACTTGTTCTGGGAGAAGGCAGCTGTTATATCAGGAAGGCCCAGATGCTGAGGAACTGAAGTCTCCTGCCAACAACAAGAAATTGAGGTCTGTCAGCATCCACGTGAATGAGTTTGGAAGTGAATATTTCCCCAGGCAAGCCTTTTCCTAACCAGCAGCTTGACTGCAATCTCCAGAGACTGTGGACCAGAACAATCCAGTTAGACCTTTCCCAGATTCCTGACTATCAGAAACTGGGATAATAAATATTTTTCTAGCCACTATGTTTTGGAATAACTACGTTTCACAGTAATAGATAAGTTCATGGAAAATTAAAATTAGTACAAATATCATCAGATACCTAAAAGGTCTTAGATTCTTTTCCTAGGGCAGACAAAATAAACCTCACATAGATTTGGGATTTCATCAAAAAGGGATTGGATCTCAGATTTAGCACTGAATTTTTATCATAATTGCAGACAAGGAAACCCTAAGCAGGGAAGCTTACGGGGCCAAGTCCATGGGCTTGGGCCTTGGGTGTGGTGGTCCTCTGCTGAACTTCCTTGGAGTATCCTGATTGTCAAACTCATGACAGATTGCTTGGGAAGCCATTCAAATTAGCAAGGGAGAGCAATACCTTCATAGTCTTCTCTCAAGTAGCAGTTAGGGAAAGGCACTTAAGAATATTGGAGGGGAGGGCAGAGGCTAGTCAAAGGGGGTTATATGGCAGAGATAGGTGAGTGGGTCTGGGCAGTAGTTGGTCAGAATTTGTGATTGCTGCTGGAACAGTGTCAAATTGTAAGTGTTCCTTACAATTTGAGATACATGAGACCATATTGAGTTCCTATTACTGTAGTCTCTTGGAATATACAGGTCTGAATGAGCTAGTGTTAAAATAGCTCAAGCACCTGGCCAGTTGCTTAGTGGTTAGTGTTGGCCCACAGACTGAAGGGCCATGGATTTGATTATGGCTCCTCCCCAGCCCAGGCCCTTGTCAGGTCGCATGCAGGAGGCACCAATCAATGTTTCTCTCACATCGATGTTTCTCTCTCTCTTCCACTCTCCCTAACAATCAATGGGGAAATATCCCTGGAAGAGGATTAACCAAAAACAAACAAAAACAGCTCAAGCTTTGGTAATCAGTGTATAATGAGCTTTAGTACACTTTATAGGTTTTTAGTAATAGTGCAGTTTTTCAAATCGTGGTTTTATTTCCCAATGGAGAACTATCTGACAAGGAGATCTATTAGGACTTTATTGCAAGAGATAATCAAATATTTATTGAGACATATGCTTCCACCCATGCTGGAATAACAAGTATTAGACTTAACACTTCTCTGTAAACAAACTGGAGGAAATGTGGAACTGCGTTCAGGCATGGAACAATAAGACAGCGGAGAACTGGAATTCCTGAGAGGAAGGAAACAAATGAGGTGATTCCCTACAGTTGCCCCAACTTTCTACATGGAAGTAATTTTCAGACTCTAAACTCAAGGGAGAATCCAAACAGAGCTGACAAGCTTGCTAAATTGAAATAGAAATAGGAGGTTGAGGCAGCTATACAATGTGGGGCAGACATAGGTGGGAGTTGTGCAGAGAAGAGGTCCAAAGATCTGCACAGGACCCCCGAGTGCTGAGTTCTAAGCCACACATCCTCAGAGTAAAATTCTAGAAAGGCAAAAAATGACAGGGAGTAAAAGCTGAACAATTGCCTTGGCTGCCACCATCTGTTCAGCCATTCCTAGCTCCTCCCCACATCCGCTCCTGCTGGCCTGGCTTTTTGGATCACCATCACCCAAGGACAGAGCGGCCAAGTGTAAAGATTACCCACCTGTTCCTGTTGGCCTCAGGAAACAGTTCCGCATATCCCAACCCTTGCCAGGGCCATCTAACTGGTGTGTTGGAGAAAGAGGTGGGACTCCTGCCTTCTCCAGAGTTAGCTGTCTGCAACTGGAGCCCTGATCTCATCAGCACCCTGTGAGGAGGTAGGGCCTGGGACCCCCATGACCTCAGAGGAGGCAGCCTGAGCCCAGGGCCTCACCAAGCACTGTGAACACAAATCCAAGTGTTGAGGCCCCAAAAAGACTTCACCCAAGAAAAATGTCAGCAATATCAAATGTCACTGCTCCTGCAGTCACAAGCCAGGCTCCAGCTTAGGAGGGGTTCTCTCACTGGCCCCCCGCTGCTGTCTGTGTGGTCTCCTCCATCGCAAACACTTGAGCATGGATTTCTGTGTTTAACAATATGCAGTGCAAGTTGACGCTTCAATGGACTCTTAGGCTCCAGATTAGAATTTTGGGCAGAATTCAAGGTCCCAAGATCTGAGTGTGACTGACTTTCTGGCAGCCTTCTACGTGGGGAGAGAACAAAGGATTGAGTTATCACTTGTTCTTCTCAAAACAAACCCATTACCCCGTCAAAAACTTGGCTCACAATCATAATGTCAGGTGTGGGGGGTGGGGGATGAAGAAACATTGAACAGGACAAAGAGAGTTTTGTACACGCTGGAGATGTAAACATTTGGAAGCTCGTTGCACCTGTGCTGAATATGAAGCTCCCCAAACTCCGAGGGAACATGTGGTTTCAGCTCCTACGTACCCACTTCATCACTCCAGCCCAAACATGCCTTACTAGAAAGCATGGGCTTCCTGGGCCGCTAGGATACATCTCTGGATGTTCAAAACCTCCAAGCGCTGTGAAATCTCAAAAGGAGCCCATAGTGTCTCCTGGGAGCCCACTGCTGCTCTTCCCTCTAGCTACCACATGGTGGCAACAGGGAGCCAGCTCCACCGCTGTGGGAAGGACTAGACAAGGCTTTCGCTGCCACAGGGGTTCCAGGCAAGATCTATGTTCTTCCTGAGGACTCACCCCAGTGCCAGGAGGCCCAACGCGCAGGGCTTCACTGGGCTAGCTGGTTTTGGGCTTTCAGCTTTGGCCCAGGCAAAGAATACGTTTCTCCCAAGTTGAGACTGTTTCCCCAACCCTACAATGTAGGATCCCCCCACAGGATGCACTCCCCCATGCCCCACTCCCCATGGAGTCCCTCAGGCTTGTGTGCTGCTATGAAGGTAAGCCAGGCTCTCCGTCTCTCTCACTCATAACCACCCGGCATTCTAAGGCCATTTGGCAGCAGTGGAAACCGAGGCTCAGAGACTAAGTGAGATTCCAAGATCAGACAGCCCCACACCCCAGAGCAAATGTCAAAATGAAGTGGAGAAACTAAACTGTCAGAAAGTAACAAAACTCATTTATTTCGATAACATGAGCTCACCAGATCACCGAAGTCCTATAAAACCTGCCTCCTATTGCACCCTGGACTCTGGGCACACAGAGGCAACCTAGCATCCGGCCAGACTAAGACCAAGGGTGGGGCCGGGGCAGGGCCAGCAACAGGAAAGGTGGCTTTGCTCTGAGACGGGCAGAGTGAAGGCGGCTCACAGCTGGCTCCTGTGCCATGCCCATGGGCAAGGATGGCTCCAGCCTGAGGCCTGCCTGCAGGGGAGGCTTCTCTCCTTGGCCAGGGCTGTCCTTACCAGAGTAGGTGAAGTGGGGAGGGAATTAGGATGGCCACAGGCTGCCTTGAGCCAGCATTCTGCTCTGTTACACCATGGACAGGTCCAGGAACAGAGCTGACAAAAAATGGCCTCTTTGCAACTTAAAACTCTATTACCCAATCCTCACCCACCCCAGCTAGAGCAGTTAGAGGAAGCAACAACAAACGACAGGCAGGACAGGGAACAAGCACCTATTTGTACAACAGCTGAGTGGCCGCACCCAAAACCAGCTAGGTGTGATGTCGGCGCAATGCAATGATTGTCAAACACTTCCATTTTCACCCCCATGCCCGGCCTGGGAGCCTCCGCGGTCAGTGCACCGCGGGGAGCACCGCGGGGAGCACCGCAGGCTAGTGCAGCCGCAGGTAGGAGGGGGCGGAGTAGTTGAAGAGCAGGAAGTCCATCTTGTAGAGGTCAAAGAGGCGCCGCTGGTAGAAGGGGCTGATGTCCTGGAAGAGGCGCCTGGCCAGGTCCTGGGAGGCGGCGGCCGCCTTGGCCCGGGACGGCGGCGGCGCGGGGAAGCGCAGGCCCGGCGCGCCCACCAGGCCCAGCACGAAGGCCGCGTCCTCCGCCAGCGTCTCGAACTTGCCCACCACGTCGTAGCGCAGGCGGCACGGGTGGCAGAGCGCGTGCGCGCGCTCCCAGTGCTCGTTGAAGGGCTCGTCGCGGCGCGTGCGCGGGTCCAGCAGGTAGGCCAGGAACTCGGCGAAGCGCACGTCGTGGCCGCGGGCCAGCGCGTCCGGGTGCGCGCGCGGGCGCAGGCGCCGCACGATGCGCGTGCCGTACAGGCGCTGGAAGGCGGCGCTGTAGGGCCGCGCGAACTTGTTGCGGTAGGCCGAGGCCAGGCGCTCGAAGGGCTCGCGCACGAAGAGGAAGGTCAGGTAGGCGCGCAGGCGCCGGTTGATCTCGGCGGGGCTGAAGTCGGCCAGCGAGGGCAGGCGGCCCGGCGCGTGCGCCTGGTGCGCGGGGATGGCCTGCGGGTCGGCGGCGCCCGGGCCGCGCAGCGCCAGCAGCACGCGCTTCCAGTTGGTGCAGGCCACCTTGGGGACGTAGCAGTAGAGCAGGCCGTGGGCGTCGTCCACCAGCACGTGCCGCAGGTCCTCGGGCTGCAGCAGGCGCTGCCGGCGCGTGTGGCGGCTGCAGGCGCGGCGCAGCAGGTTGCGGCGCTGCCGGTGCACCTCCGCCAGGGCCGAGCTCGAACCCTGTGGAGGACAGGGGTCAGTGTCAGGGCAGCCGCCAGGGACCTGTGGGAGCAAAGGGCCCCGCAGCAGGTAGCGGGCCTGGACTGGAAACCCCGCGCTGCCACCCATCCCTGTATGATTGGGAGCCTGGGCATTTGCCCTGGACCTGGGTTGGGGAGAAATGAATTTAACCTTGCAGAGGCATGAGCCGGCTGTTGGACACTCAGGACTGAGGAGGTCCTGATAACGAATGTGACAGGATCAGAGTAAGTCTGATAAGGAAGTATGGCTGCAGAGTCCTCACCATGGGAGCAAACTGGATTGCTAGAAGTAGCATACTGCATAAGAATGGTAGCTTTTTACAGCCCTGTAATATTCCGTGGTGTAGATGTATCATAGCTTTTATAATCCACTCATCTGCTGGTGGGCACTTGGGCTGTTTTCAGATGTCAGCTATTGTAAATAAAATAATGCTGCCGGGAACACAGTGGGAGCATATATTCCTTCTGACTGGTGTTTTGGCATTCTTAGGATATATTCCCAGAATATTTGGGATCAAGTAAAAGGCAGTTCCATCTTTAATGTTTTGAGGAGGGGTGACTGGATAAAGAAGATGAAGGGATTAGCTAAAGAACATAGATGCATATCCATGGACACAGACAATACTTTGATGAAGGCCAAGAAAGGGGAGGAGAGCATGGGTGGAGGTGGGCAAAGGGAGGGAGGGGGACACCTGTAATAATGTCAACATTAACATTTTTAAAGTATATTTTTACTGATTTTTCATAGAGAGGAAGAGAGAGAGAGAGAGAGAATTAGAAACATCGATGAGAGAGAAACATTGATCAGCTGCCTCCAGCACACCACCTACTGGGGATGTGCCCGCAACCAAGGTACATGCCCTTGACCAGAATCGAACCTGGGACTTCAGTCCACAGGCTGACGTTCTGTCCACTGAGCCAAACCGGTTTTGGCCATTAACATTTTTATTAAGAAAAATAACAAAAAACTCATGATGATATGGGAAAAAAAGAATGATAGCTTGAGTCTGTACCCCTCTGTCAACCCACCGGCCCCTCCCAGACTGGCTTGAGGACCCTGGGACTACAGGCAGTATCTTCAGGACTAGTGACAGGCTGAGGCCCGGGCTCAGAGGGTCCTTGGAGCTGCAGGGGAGCATTGAGGGTACTGGGTGCTGAATGGGGTCTCCCTACTCAAGGGATGAGAGATGCTGCCATGGAGGGAGGGTGGCATCAGGATCTCCTACCAGGCAGCACCCAGGTGGAGCTACTTTTCACAGAGCAAATGCAGAAGTCAGCCAGTTTGCAGACCCCGAATCTATTTCTTTTTGAGATAAAACCATGCCTGCCAGGGGAGGCAGGCAGCAGGAAAAATAATGGTACTTTGCATTCTAAGCCACAGCCAGTGAGGGGAGGGAGGCAGGGCCTTCTCCACACAAGGCCCTGGCCCAATGCAGCGGACTCCGCCAAGGTTACCAGCTGGGAGGGACCTCGGGACAAAGCAGCCGCCCAGAGGTACAGCCTTCCAGGGACTGCATAGGCCCCTGTGGACCTTTTGCATGGTCCCTGGACAGGCCACAGCTCTCCTGTCTCCTTTTCAGTCCCAACTGTTACAGCCCCAGCAAGAAAGAGTTGGCTTTTTCTGGAAGGAGTTTGGCAAAGGGACGGTTGACAGGTGTGAGAGCAGGGGCAGACAGCCAACTGGGAAGGTGGCATTCCAGAAACAGAGACCATCCAACCTCTCAAGGGGGTGGGGCCATGTGAACACTGAGCACAAGCACACAAACAATGGGAGTCACGTGATCAAGTGAGAGTGTGCATGTAAATAAGGGGGCGGGGCCACATAATCAAGTGAAAGTACTCCTGTGAAAAAGGGGTGGGGCCACCTGATCATGGGAGAATGGGTGTGTCAACAAAGGGGTGGGGCCCCCTGAACCAGAGGGAGAAGTGCAGTGAGGATGGAGGATGGGCTGTGTGAAGATGGAAGGTATGGGGCCAGGAGTCCTCGGAAGCTGAAGAGGCAGGAAGGACCCTCTCCTTTGAGGAAGCACAGCCCCAGACACCCTGATTACAGATTCTGGCCCCAGAACAGGGAGAGCACATTTTCCTATTTGGGAATACTAGCTTTGCCTTTGTACCCCAGCCCTTGGCACACACAGGTGCTCAGTAAATCCGGAAGGAAGGGATGGAGAGAGGGAGGAAAGAGCAAAGAAACCCCTCTCAGAGGATTGGAGAGGATCTAGACCGTGAGCACAGGGCTGGGCACCGAGCCAAGCCCACTCTCTTCCTGTCACCTCCACTTGAGCCCGGGCTCCAGCACCTTCTGCCTCATCTGATTTGGAGCCGGCTCAGGGGTCTTCTCCATGCGGCAGGCCTGTGTCTATTGCCCATTTGGATGCAAGGTAATTACACCGGGATGCTGACGTGCACTTGACTTTATATGGAGCTAGTGTGTTTGGGAGAAAGGCCTTCATTCCCGGAAACCCCAGACTGTGCAAACTTGCAAGGGCCTGAGGGCTGACCTTGAGCAGGGGTTTTCAAATGGTTTTCACACTGAATACTTTCTGCAGACAAAGCCTTACCTGACGCCACTATGTAAAACAGATGGGAACTAAGCTGCTTGAGGAGATGGGACCAGAGTCCCCTTTCCCCTGTGCTCTGGGCCCTGGGGAGATGGGAGTTGGGGTCAGTCCTGCCAGTGGGATGGGCAGCCAGGAGAGAGGGAGAGCCCTGGGCAGAGTTGGTGACTGACATTTGCTAACTGGTACAGAGGGCTTCAGTATTTTCAGAACTGCGTGTTCATGCCTGTGTGGCAGGATGAAAGATGAATGAACTCATCTTTCACAGCAAGGAGTCAGTCTATACAAACAAAAATGAAAATATGTGTTTGGAAAAAATCCTAATGACTTCAACTTTTATTTTTAAAATATATTTTATTGATTTTTTTTTTTACACAGAGGCAGGGAGAGGGAGAGAAAGCCAGAAACATCAATGAGAGAGAAACATCATTCAGCTGCCTCCTGCACAACCCCCACTGGGGATGTGCCCGCAACCAAGGTACATGCTTTTGACCAGAATCAAACCCGGGACCCTTGAGTCCACAGGCTGACACTCTATCCACCGAGCCAAACGGGTCAGGGCATGACTTCAACTTTTAATGTTCTCACATTTTCTTCTTCTTTTTTTTTAATCTTGAAGGGATACTTTAGGGGAAGTATCTCTTGTCTAGAGGAAATATTTATATGAATTCAGCACTTCCATCAACTTCTCTTTCTTTTGCTTTTGTGAAATTCAAATAAAATAAAATTTAAAATTGCAAAAAAAGAAAAAAAAGAATGGTAGCTTTAATTTATAAACAGCATTGAAAAATGCAGCCACTTGCAGGCTATTAAGATCTTTTCTGTTTAATAATAAAATTAGCTAATTCTATATTTCTGAATTGGCATGTTCCTTTGGGTCTTGATTTCTTATATCCCGAGCAGTCCTCTCCCAACCCCCAACAAATTCTAATCTCAGTACTTGGGCAGGAAGCTGGCCCTCTCTCGGCCTGTTCCTCCTCTGTAAAACAGTGCTGTGTGCCAGGCACCTTGCTATGCCCTTTACAACTCTATGAGTTGGGTAATATTAGGAGAACACTTGCGCCCAGCCCTTCCTCGTCCTCCTCAGCTGTACCTCCAGCAACCACCCTCGCTTTCTCCAAGCCCTTCTGGGTCTTCACCTCCAAGACTAACCCTCCAGCCCTCCTACCTCCTTCTTTGGTGTTTGTTTTGTTTTGTTGTCTAAAATTTCTTAAAGATTTTAATTTCTAAACATTGTATTAAAAGCCTTGCGGCAATCTATACTAATAATAGAGGAATGTGCAAATTGTCCAGGATGCGTCACAGTAATAATAACAACTGAACAGTGTGGGGTGACAAGGCCAACAGGGGGGTTAGAGAGGGACTACCCAAACAACTGAACAGCAGGCTGCGTGGGGTGACCAGGTCAGTAGGGGAGACAGTTAGGGGCGATCAGGCAGGCAGGCAGGTGAGCAGTTAGGAGCCAACAGTCCCAGATTGTGAAAGGGTACAGGCTGGGCTGAGAGGACCCCCCCACTCCGTGCATGAATTTCATGCACCAAACCCCTAGTAATACAATAAATATTAGTGACAATGCGGGAAAGTGGACCCTTCATTCATTACTGATGAGAATGTAAATGGTACAGATGTTGTGGAAAGTAGTTTGACAGTTCCTCAGAAAATAAACATCTGATCCAGAAATTCCATTTCTAGGTCTATATTAAGGTAACAAAAACAAAAGTTATACAAAAACTTGTACACAAATGCTTACAACTACATTATTTATAATAGAGAGTAGAAACAACCCAAATATACATCAACTGGAAAATAGATAATTAATATGTATGTGGTCTGTCCATTCAATGGGATTTATCCTTTCTAATAAAGAGGGAATATGCTAATTGAACCTCACACCATCGCAAAGATGGCAGCACCCACAGCCAATAAGGAGGGAATATGCTAACTGACTGCCATGCCCTCAAAGATGGTGGTGCCCGTAGCCACAAGACGGCATCACCCAGTCCCCTCAGCCCCAACAGGGCAACAGGTGTGCGGCAAGGCTGGGCCAGTCGTGGGGCCGGCCCGGCCTTGCTATGTGATGGCCTCCAGAGTCTCCCAGCTGCCCAGAGCCGGCCTGAGGCACAGGCAAAAATATTTGTTATGGGCCGCATGTGGCCTGTGGGCAGTGAGTTTGACATGCTTGCTATAGGTTTACATTGGGGCTCTTGGGTTCCCATGTCTGGAGACAGAGGGAGGGGTCCCAGAATGGGGGTCTGTCCACTTACCTGGTCCAGGTCATAGAGCATCTGCAGGGGACTCCTCTTCTTCCCACCGAGCCAGCCAGAGCCCAGGGCTTTGTTTCCAGATTCTGTGGAGCATAAAGAGAGAGGTGTCACCACTGCATCAGAAGAAATGGCTTTGATGCTGTGGGGCGTGGTCAACTCACCTAGGGCACAACTAACCCATCTCTGAGACTCAGTTCCCTCCTGTCCCACCTGCATTGGGATGGGGAGGGAGGTTGGCGAAGTGTGGGGAAGCACTGACAGGGCCCCTAATCCATCAGGCAGGTTGCTTGGTGTCACTCCTATTCCTATGCCTTACCCTCTAGAATTAGAGGATGCCAGACAGGGAGAGAGAAGAGGAAAGGTGGTACCCAGCCCATAGCCTTCTGAGAAAGGCCTGACCACTCAACCTCACCCACCTGAGTCTGCCCTCAACTCATGCCCTGCCCTAGCCAGCCCCATGACTGAGGAGCGCTACCTGTCTGTCCAGGGAGGGATGGGCAGTAGTGGAGTGGCACAGCCAGGCTGCAGGCTCCCTACTGATCCACTGTGAATTCCTCCAGCAGCCTGTCATCCCCCGAGCAGTGTGCATGCTTCTTCATGGTGAATACAGCTTTAGCTGTCTCCCAGAATGGATGCCCCTGAGGACAGATACTGTCTGTCTGTCTCAGTGCCAAAATTTTCAGTCATCCTAAAACTACCATACACTCAGCTTGCTAAGTTTATTCTTCACTCGAAATGTGCCTGAAGGACTATCTTCTTAAACATATTCAATTAATATGGATATATGTTTAGTACTATAATCAATATAGGTGAGGAAAGGTTCAAGACCTTCTGGATCATATTTTTCTTAAATATGATTGTATTTATTAATACAGTAATAAAGTATAACACAATCTTTACAACATCACCAAAATTGCAAATTTTTACCTAGATTGACCAAGAAGAAAAAAAAGAAGACTCAAATTACTAAAGGCAGGAATGGAAGAGGTGACGTTAGTACTGGACCTTATAGAAACAAGAAAGCATTGTAAGAGTATAATGTGAACATCTATACAAGAGTAAATCACACAACCTAAATGAAATAGAAAATTCCTAGAAAGGCACAAATTCCTAAAATTGACTCAAGAAGAAATACAAAAACCTCAACAGACTTATAACGAGTGAAAAGACTGAATTAGTAGTTTTTAAAAGGAAGCCACGTTGGGACTGGTAGGAGGGGCAGAGACCTGAAACGGGCTGGTCCCACAACCATGTGTGGAAGTTAATAATATCCCTTTGGGAGGGATATCTCAGCTGTGAGGTCCCCAGTGAGGAGCAAGGGGGTCCTAGCCCCACATCAGGCTGCCCAGCCCACAACATCTGGCTGTGAAAATACCAGACAGGGGGCTGCTGTAGACCCCGGTGTCCTCTTAAAAGGCCTAAGAACAGACTGACTCACAAACATTGCCCTCAGCTCCAGCGAAGGGACAACAGCTAGAAAAGCACCCAGGACGTGGGAAAGAACTGCCTTGTCTAGCTTCAGGGTGAAGGGTAGGGGGAGACTGGAAGGGGTTAATGGGGGAAATGGGGACATATGTAATACTTTCAACAATAAAGAATTAAAAATAAAAAAGACCTACCTACCCTGTTTCCCCAAAAATAAGAGAGTGTCTTATATTAATTTTTGCTCCCAAAGATGCCTTATATTTCACTCAGAAGGAAACCTATAAGTAGGTCTTATTTTCGGAGGATGTTTTATTTTCAGGAAACACGGTATGTATTAGCAAATCTTCCTAATACATAGAAACAAACATAGGGAAGCAGTCATAATGAAGAGACAAAGAAATATGTCCTACATGAAAGAACAGAACAAAACTCCAGAAAAATAACTGAACAAAATGGAGACAACCAATCTACCAGATGCAGAGTTCAAAACACTGGTTATAAGATGCTCAATGATTTCAGTGAGAACTTCAACAATAAGGAACCATAAAAAGGGAGATAGACAACACTAAAAAAAAAACAATAATAGTCAGAAATGAAGATAATAACGGACATGAATAATACATTAGAAAGAACAGCAGATTAGATGAAGCAGAGTACCAAATCAGCAATTTGCAAGATAGGTAGTAGTAGGAAACACCCAATCAGAACAACAAAAAGAAAAATGAATTTTAAAAATGAGGATAGCGTAAGGGACTTCTGGTGCAACATCAAGTGTAACAATATTTCATCATAGGGATAGCAGAAGGAGAAGAGAGAGAACTAAGTATTGAAAACAAATGGCCAATAGACATACCAAAAAAGAAAAAAAAAAAAAAAGAAAGAAAATGTTCAACATCACTAATCATCAGAGAGATACAAATTAAAACTACAATGAGATTGTCAGAAACCAACCATTGTCCCCACTAGCAGAAAGGTGTGGACTAGGAACCTGGAAGACTGATCAACCTTGAAGCTCTGAAAGATCAGAGCCAACCACTCCCTATCTAATTGAGACAATGATAGCTGAAGCAACTTCCACCTGTCGATCTTATTTAAATCCTTGCTGATTGGCTATTACTGGAATTGCCTGCCTGTATGGGTAGATCCCAAACCTTAATAAAAGGGGTAGCAAGGCCCGAGCAGGGTGTAATCCTCCCACTAGAGTTGGGGTCCCGCCTGGCCCCCAATATCACCAAATTAACACTTTTCTAGTCTCTTTCATTTGTGTGTGGTCTCCTCCAGAACTTGAATCCAGAACCTGAACACTGAACCTCTCGGGACGTGAAAGGGGTTCCTGCATGAGGTATCACCTCACATCTGTCAGAGAGGCTATCATCAATAAATAAACAAATAACACGAGCTGGCCAAGATGTGGAGAAAAGGGAACCCCAGTGTACTATTGGTGGGAATGCAGACTGGTGCAGCCACTGTAGAAATAAAAATGGAGTTTCCTCAAAAAATTAAAAATGGAATACTAGTATATCCTAAGAATCCTGAAATACCAATCAGAAAGAATATACATGCTCCTATGTTCATAGCAGAATTATTTACAACTAGAAGCCTGGCCTGTGGGATTGGGCGAAACCGGCTCTCTGACATCCCCCGAGGGGTAACAGATTGCAGGAGGGCAGAGGCCAGGCAAAAGGACCCCACCAGTGTATGATCAGGGCTGGGGAGGGACCTCAGGAGAGTTCCAGGGCGTGTCTGACCTGCCTCACTCAGTACCAATTGGTTGGACCCCAGTAGCTAACCTACCAGTTGGAGCGTCTGCCCCCTGGTGGTCAGTGCATGTTATAGCAAGCGGTTGAGCTGCCCTAGCATATCATTAGCATATTACACTTTGATGGGTTGAACAGCTGACTGGACAACCGGACACTTAGCATATTAGGCTTTTATTATATAGGATAGCTAAGATCTGTAAACAGCCCTGTGTCCATTAGTAGATGAGTGGATAAAAAAAATCTGTGGTACAGCCCAGCCAGTGTTGCTCAGTGGTTGAGCTTTGCCTATGAACCAGGAGGTTATGGTTCACCTTTCTCACCATTTTGCAGATGGTGAAGTGGAGGCTCTGAGAGATATTACCTCTTGCATGAGGTCACCCAGTGACCAGCTCCTCTTGGGACCACAGCTGGGACTGAGGAAGGGCTGGTGCCCACCAGGAGTTGTGGGAAGAAGAACTCTAAATGACAGAGAAGAAACCTAGGCCTGTCTTTTTGTTAAGGCCCCTTAACTCAGAACCTTCCAGAAAAGCCATTGAGAAAGGCCTGTCATTTCCCAGACAGACCACAGCCTGCAGGAGTGTGGGTCCCATACCAGACTTGGTGGCCAGTGGGTGGAGTGCAAGAGGAAGTGGGCACCAGAGAGAGGCCCAGAGTAGTTGTGGCCAGTGATTACAGGGCTGGGCCATCCCCACCCGGGCCCACCACACAGATCAGAGGAACCCAGGAGGGCAGGCTGGCCACGGAGGGGGGACAGATGGGTCTAGGGGCTCAGAGGGGAGTGCTTGAAGATCCTAGGGTCCAGCCCCCCACTCTGGACACCTAGAGGCTGGCAGTCTAGCGTAGGGACTAACCTCAAACAGGACCACTCTGAGGCCTCTCCCAACCCCCATTGCCATCCCTTAACCCCCTTCCCTCATCCTCCCCCGCTTCCCCTACCTACTTATTTCCTCCCAGCCCTTCCACTGGGCTCCGTGTCCCAGGGCCCCTGCCCAGGGCTCTGTGGAGCAGACAGGCCAGGGAGAGGCCCTAGTTTCGTGGTCAGGGAGGCTCCTGGACCTAAGCCAAAGAACTCTGCCATCCAGAGCAACCACAGGCAAACCACACGGGGTTCTGCTTTGAAAAAAGGAAACAAAAATAGCAGGAGGCTATGGAGAGAGGAGAGAGAGAAGAGGCGGTGGGTAGTAGGAGGGAGGAGAGAAAGAGGAATTAGGTGCCAAGGACAGAGATGGAGAGAGAAGGAACGACACACAACGACAGAGACAGAGAGTGGGAGAATTCCCGGAACTCCGGCGGGCACCATGCACTGTCCTCAGTGATTGGTGCACATGGATGCTTTCTCCTATTGGGGAGTAACTGTCACTGTCCCCACCGGACAGATGGGGAAATGGGATCAGAGAGGCAACCAAAGAAGCCAAAGGCCTCACAGCAAGTAAGGGCCAGAAACAGGGTTTTACCCCAGGCCACAGTATACGTGTGACCTTAATGCAAGCCATGCCATCCTGCCCTCAGGCACCACTCCTCTCAGCACAAAACTCGATTCACAGCATCCACAGGCTGGCGGCCGAAATGCCACACCAAGAAACCAGACAAACTGTCCGTGCACGCTCACGCCCAAGGAAAGCCTCAGCCCCCGCTTTATGATGCGAGGGGCGGGGAGGGGGGGAGGCGGGAAGGGGGAGACATGTTGTTGCATGGGGCACTTGAGGCTTCACCATTTTGGGGAAACAATGGAGATCCCCAGTCTGGTAAGCATAGATTATGACATAAGGTTTCTGGTTAATAAGTTCTAGCTGGGCTAGTGTCGCAAGACCAGATAAGCAGAAGCCGAAGGCCTTGCTGTTCCAGTCTGCCCTAGCTCATTCACTCCCCTGATGACTTACGCCTTCTGGGTGACCTATGTGTCCTGGGTCAGGGACACTGCCTCTGGTGATCAGGCTAAGCGATAGAACACGTGGACAAATCCTTTTCGTAAAAAGCAATTCTGCCCCCACCCCCATTTTTTTTTTTTTTTTAGAGAAAGAAATATAATAGTGATCTCTCCACTTGAATTTAAAATTCAGACGCCACGCTGAATCCACAAACCACGTGGAATGGAAACTTATCTGATCAGATCATTCTTGGGGACCAGTCACATTAGCTCTGTCTCCAGGAAGCCCCCATCTCTGCTTCCTCCACAGGCGCAGCCCAGGGCAAGCCCCGTCCACTCTGCTCCGGAAAATCACCAGTCTCTTCTGCTGGCTTCCTGTTTCTTCTTCTTCCATCTTGGTGGGACCTACAAGGCTTCCCACGGCTAACGGTGGATGCCAGCTCCTTCCCAAGGCCCTCAGGGCGCATCTCCCACTTTCCCAGCTCCCTCCTCAGCGGCAGCCGCTCCGAACATCCTGGTGCCTCCCCACCTTGGCTCTAACTTTTCCATCAGGCTGGGAAGCTCCTCTAGGAAACATTTTAGGGAACATGCTGCTTGTTCAGATCTCAACTCAGATGTCTCATCCACATTAGGATATTTCAAAGTCAAAGTCTCTCCTTTTATTTCTTTTTAATTTTCACCTGAAGATATGTTTATTGATTTTGAGAGAGAGAGCCATGTAAGGAAGAAACATCCATCCCATATGAGCCCCAACTGGGGATCGAACCCGAAACCTAGGGATGTGCCCTGACCAGGAATCAAACCTGCAACCATTTTGGTGTACAGGACTGCAGCTCCCTCCCGTGGCTTGGGGGGGGGGGGTGTCTAGGCCTGGACAGCGGTGTCCAGCCACAGAAGGCATGGTGGGAGTGCAGGGTGATCGGGTGAGCACTGAGGAGGCCTCTCCAAACCCTGGCCTCCAGTCCAGAGGCGGTCAGGGGAGTGTGAGGGTGTCAGGGAGTGGGAATGGAGGGGAAGAAGCCCCTCACCTCTGGAGGGGAGGAGCACGGTGCCAGGCCTAATCATGACAGTGCCATGGTAAGGAGGCCAGAGGCCAGGCACTCCCCGTGTCCCCTCGTTCCCCTCGGCAGAAGCCGGGGAAGGAAGAACTTGGGCACTCCATTATAGATGGGAGCACTGGAGCCCAGAGAGGGGAGGGAATGGGTCACCCAGCAGATAAGCTGTGGATGACCTATCCTACACCAACCTAGACCTAGCCCTTCCCCCCCCCCCCCATGGGTAAGTGCTGCCCTCAGACTCCTCAGCCTCATCTCCTAGGCCACCTAACCCCACTGCCCAGTTACCACTCTGAGACCGTGTCTGAGAGGGACTCCAAGGATTTCACCATCCCCGCCCCCCAAACACACACACACGCGTGCACACACACGCACACATCAGGAAAGGCAAACAGAGCCAGAGGTCAGGAGAACAAGCCAATGGCTGGGCCTCTCGAGTCCAGGACAGACTGTGCAGTCAGCAAGTCAGCCATCCACACCCACCCCTCCACTCACTTCTCTGGCATCTCCTTCCCTGTGAATGGGGTGTGAATGGGGCAGTGAGAGGTTTGAGGAATTCCTACAAGTGAAGTCTGGCACATGCCGCCTGGAGCAGGGACTCCACTCTGCGTTGGTTCCGACAGGTTGCCTCATTTCCACCGGGGGATGCAGGGGCATCAAACTCTCTCCCAACCTGGCGCTAAGGGTGTGGGGCGAAGTAAAGGAAACTGCCTTCCCAAGTGGGCCAAGTCCACCCCCTGCCACTGACCTGGGTCCCTAGACACAGGCTGGCAGCCCTAAGGGTCCCCATCCCGGACGTTTGGAGACCACTTCTCCAAGGGAGCAACGCCTTGCGGGAGCTGGGGCACAGGCGGGGCATCGAGAGCCGTTCTAGCACCTATCCCCTAGCCCAGGAGCAGACGGCAGGTGCCCCCCGCCCAGCTGGCACTCACCCGGGAGGAGGGCGCGGGCCGCGGCGCCCAGGAGCAGGAGCAGGAGCAGGAGCGCAGCGCCCAGACACGCGGCGGCCAGCGCGCGCCGCCGCCAGCAGCGCCTCCCCATGCTGAGCCAGCGCTGGGGCCGCGCGTCCCGTCCCGCGGGGCGGCGATGCCGGCCGGACCCGCCCCGCGGCCCGGCGGCCCGAACCAAAGCGCGGCACGGGGGTGCGAGGCTTCCTCGCTCGGGTCGCCGGGCCACAGGGAACAGGCTCTGGCCTGGATGACTGCAGAGGTGGGCGAGGGCAGGCTGGCTGGCCTCGTCCAGTCTCCATGCGCCCCCTCCTTCACCACATAAACACAGGATCGCTGTCCAGGGTGCGGAGGGTGGCGCCTGGGTGGAGGGAGCCCTGTCGCCCCTTCTCTTTTTGCTGTGCAAGCCGGGATGTCCCTTCCCAGGATCGGCCGAGAGTGCCCCTTCCTCCCCCCGGGGCACCTGTAGCCTGGTTTCCGCAGGTGTCTCCAGGTTCTACCTGAGTTCTGGCTCATGCAGTCCCAGCTAGACTGAGGAGGAGAGGTGAAGGTCTCCGTTCACATCCCCCAGGAGCGTGAGGACCGGAGTGAACACTCAGAACTTGGCCAAGGCCCAGCCGGTGAGGCTCAGTGGTTAGGCTTCCACCTGTGAAGCAGGAGGTCACGGTTCCATTCTGGTTCTGCCAGGTTTCCGGCTTGATCCCAGGTGGAGGGTGTGCAGGAGGCAGCTAATCAATGATTTTTTTCTCATCACTGATGTTTCTCTCTCTCTCTCCCGCTCCCTTCTTCTCAGAAATCAATACAAAAACAAACAAAAACTTGCTGAAGATTCCTGGGTGTGAGGGAATGGGAGGAAAGTCCAGCCTTGGAAAAGTAAACCAATCCAGCTAGCCCTGTGGAGTGAGGAGACCAGGACTGTCCCCTGGGTCTTGCTGCCCAGAGGGCAGGCTAGCAGGGGACCGGAGGAGGCAGCTGATGCTGTGTGCACTGGTGTGTTCACTTGAGCTAATACCTAGCAGTAAGTGGGGGTAAGGGGTATGTGTGTGTAAGGGGGATTGCTACAGTAAACTCCAGTTGTTTAGCAGCTCTTGAAAACTCTAAGCCTGCTGGTACCATTTATTGGCTGTGTGACATCAGGAAAGTCGCCCAACCTCTCTGTGTTCCATTCCCTGAATAGTGGGATAGTACTAGGACACAGCTCTTCGTCCTTTGAGGACTAACTGAGATACAGGACATATTTGAAACAGCATCTGGCACTCAGTGACTGCCATCTAAATACAATATCTCAGTGATTATTAACTTTTTAAAAAATATAATTCTTTATTGATTTCAGAGAGAAAGGGAGATGGATAGAGAGATAGAAACATCAATGATGAGAGAATCACTGATTGGCTGCCTTCTGCACGCCCCCCAATGGGGATTGAGCCCACAACCCAGACATGTACCCTTGGCCAGAATCGAACCTGGGACCCTTCTGTCTGCAGGCCGACACTCTATCCACTGAGCCAAACCGGTGAGGGCAGTGATTATTAACGTTTATAGTACTGCCTGTTTCTGGCAAATTACAGTGACGATATAAAAATTCCTTGGCTCATGACAACAATATAAAAAAGCCCTGGCTGGTATGGCTCATTGGCCTGCACATGGAAGGGTCTCAGGTTCGATTCCTGGTTAGGGGCACATACCTGAGTTTCTGGTTTGCTCCCAAATATCCCCCCCTACCCCCCAAAAAAAAGAAACTTAAAAAAATTTCTTATTACATATATTTAAGTTTTAAAAGTCTATTTAAGGAAGTATATCAAGTAAATAATAGTTATTTTGGCTTAAAGATAGAGCTCCCAAGGATGATGATAGGTGTCAAATAGCAGAGGGGTCGGAAAACCAGCTCTCTGATAAACCAGAAGCTTTTTATTACGGCTTTCCAGACAACTTGGACAGAGAGCCTTGGGGAGCGTCTAACTCACCGCTGGGCTCGCCGGAAGTCAGGGCTGCTGCTACTCTGGACCCAGAGATTTGGGATCACCCACAACCCCAGCAGGCCCCAGATCTAATCTACACCTGTATTCCTGACCCCTGAGTCCCAGCCCCTGGAGTCCTTAGGGCGAATCTTGGCCTCCTGAACTGCCACCTGGTGGCCAAAGCTGAGAACAACATCTCAGCCCATCTCTTGTCCAGAAAAATCTGTGCAAGCACATGGCAGAGTCCCAATGTTGAGTCTTGCGGTGGGAGGGTGAATGTGCCCTCAGCGGCTTGCCTGGGAAAGCGCCATCTGCAGCTTCTGTCCTCTCACAGGGGTTCATTTTCTTTCTTTCTTTCTTTCTTTCTTTCTTTCTTTCTTTCTTTCTTTCTTTCTTTCTTTCTTTCTTTCTTTTCTTTCTTTCTTTCATTCACTCACTCATTCAACTGAATGCCCAGTCTATGCTAAGGCACCAGTGGCAAGAGCCAGGCAGATACATCCTCTGACCTCGTGACGTTTTCAATAGAGATGGGGGAGAGCATAGAAATAGGAGCAAACATCTAAATTATGGCTGGTGATAAGTGGTGCTGTGAAGAACAAATGCAGAATAAAGGGATGGGACGTGTGTACCACAGGGTGACAGTGGCAGGCCTCAGGGAGACATGACACTGAGCAGAGATGTGAACCTGTGAACCGGGTGAGGCTGCTGTGTGGTATGGCGGCAGGGTGGAGAAGCTTTCCCTACAGAGTAGGGGCCCCATGGGGATCCTGATGAGTGATCCAGTTGCTGTTGCTACGTAACAAACTGCCCTAAAACTTAGCAGCTTAGCCAAAACATTTACATTTTGCTCACGATTTTGTGGATCAGGAATTGGGGGAGGGGTCTCCAGCTCATCTGCAGGCCGCTGGGCCTGGTGATCTGGAGGCTGGCCCCCAGGTTTTCCCTGTCACATGGTTGGCCGTGGACCTGAGTGCCTGGGGTCCTGAGTGAGTGCCTGGGGTTGGCATGCAGTGCCCTCCTGCCTCTCTTTACTGCTTACTAGTTTTAAGATTTTATGTATTTGGTTTATCCAAGAATTAAACTTCAAGAACACCAGAGGTTTGTTGTTGTTGTTGTTTAATTGAGGGGCTTTACACATAACAAAACAAGTCACTTTAAAGTGTGCAAATTCGGTGGCATTCAGTACATTGACCATGTTGGACAACACCCAAGAGTCTTTCCCTCCCATCTCTCTCCACTTGCTGTGTATCCCTCAGAGATTTTAATGTCCTTAAATTTTTTCCCCGTTACATTTAGTACTGCATACATTACTGTGCTTCTTGCTTTTTGGATAGTGGCAACACTGAGAAAAAGAACAATATTTTCTTCTTATCTGGTGCTCATCCTGTGCCAGGCACTAGTCTAAGATCTTCACATGCATTATCTCACTTGATCCTCAGATGCACCTCATGACGCAGGAACTGTTGCTGCTTTTGGTTTACAGCTGAGGAATCCGAGGCACAGAGAGGCTAAGTAACTTACCCAAGTACAGACAAGCTGGTCAGTGGGGTAGCCAGGGTTTGAACTTACTTGTTGGCCATATTTAGCATCTGTGAGATCCTCATTCTTTTAAATAGCGTGTACAATTCTTTTTTAAAAAAAATTAAACTCTTTATTGGGGGGCACATAGATTAACATGCAGTTGTTGGAAAGAAAACAAAGATCCCAGGTGCCCTGTTCCCCCAGTGATAACCTCTTGCAGACCATATAGTGTACAGTGTCACAACCAGGTCATGGCATTGATAGAATCCACTCATTCCATACAATGCTTAATTTTTTTAAAATTGGTTGCAAACATTTAAAAGTCAGGAGATTTCACAAAAATGGTTAGATTTTTTGCTTCTCTTGAGCCAGCTAAAGAAGCCTCTTCCAGAAGCAACTCCTGAGGGGAGGTTTCAGTACCGCTAGTTTGTCTGATCAGGGAGTGGGGTATGGGATGTGGGGTGTGGAAAGTGGGGAGAGGGGAGTGGGTTTTGGGTGTGGAGAGTGGGATGTGGGGAGTGGGGTGTGGGGAGTGGGGAGAGGGGAGTAGGGTGTGGGGTAAGGAAGGGAAAGCCACCACCCAAGGGTGTGATACTGGGAGCGAGGAGGGGGCAACTCAGCCCAGTCCTGCTGGGAGTGCAGAACACTCTCCACTTACACACCCGGGGAGAGCCGAGGGAGCTGGGGTATTTATCTAGTAATGTCCCCTCTCTCCTGCCGCTCCCTAGCCCTTCCAGCCACCTCGGAGCTGGATGACCACCAGAAGCAGGCCTCCAGCAGAGAGAGGCAGCTGCTGGCCGCTATCACCTTGGGCGATGCATGCCCCGAGGGGTGGGTGGGGGGCAGTGTCCACAAAAGAGCTGCTGCTTCCCGGACAGCTCCAGTGCCTGGCACAGGGAGGCGCTCAGTCCGTCTTGCTCGAAAGATAGAGTGAATGGATGAACGCTGGGAAGCAAACGAGAGCGCATGTCTGCTTGCTGGCTCTTCCAAGCAGCCTGTCTGCTGGTGAGGATCCAGCAACAGCCTGCTCACTGTGCCAGCCGGAGCAGAGCAGCTGCGAAAAGGGAGACAGCCAGACCTGTGAACTCCAAGGGTTTAAATCCCAGCTCCACCCGTGACCAGCTGGGTGGCCTTGGGCAAGTCCCACCACCGCTCTAGACCTCAGCTTCCACGTCCAGGAAAGGGGACAGGGAAGCCCCCAGGCCCTGAGAGTACGCAGTGAGCCGGCTCGCCTGGTGTGCCCGCAGAGCTGTTGTTCTTTCCACCATTTCAGGGCAGGCTCCGCGCGGGGTGCTTGCATAACCACCTGAGACTCCTGCGGCCTGAGTGGTTAATTACCACCCACTTGCGTAGATTGGGACACGTCCCAAGGCCACAGGGCGGTCAGGAGCTGAGCTGGGTTCACAGGACCATCGGGATTCGCCTGCAGGCCCTTCCTGGCTGTGTGAGTGAGCCCGGGCTCCATTTCCCACCCGCAGCACAGCGCGAAGGAGGAGCACTTCCTCGCAGTGGTCAATGGGACTGGGGATGAGGGCCATCCTCGGGCAGGCCCTTCACTCAGGGCTTTGAGAGGGGTGAAGCAGCGTGCCCTGGGATGGAAGCTGGGGAGGGTGCA